ATGGAATGTTCTTTTCTATTAACTTTTGGATTTGAAAGCCCGAGTTTTAGACTTTGTAGCAGATTTTGTTCTGCTAGTTTTGGCGACTTCTTGAACACTATCTCGGCTTTCCAAACTCTGTGTTAGAGCTAACCTTTGCTGGATCGCCATTCGCAGCAGTGTGTTCAATGTCTTTTTCTCATCCTCTGCTGCAACAATCTGGCGTTGCATATCTTCCAGCTGATTCACATATTGATCACACCTGCTCACAAATACAGAGTGCATTGATGAAAATGTAGCCGCGTCCTCCTTCAGGGCTTTTAACTCATGTCGCATCTTCACCATAGTATCGGAAATTAGGGCCTTCTCATTCTCATATTTACTCTTCAGGTTTGACATGGCTACCTCGGCCGTCTGCTTGTTGTCAGCATAGGGGATTGCAGTTATACTTTATTAACCTCCCTGGCGGTATTCCCGAGTGTAGCTCGGGGTAAAATGTCAGTGCCAAAAGCTGTAACCCCGAGCTACACTCGGGCTTATCATGCAGCGCTGCATAGGGAGTCCCTGCAGAGCTTACCTTGTCCTTCGCTCCCGCGATGTGTCCCCTGCAGCGTCCCCGGCCATCTCCTCCGGTCGATGCCGGCATCCGGCTTCTGTGTTCCGATCCCTGTGACGTCGGGACATATGGGCGCCGGCGGGAAATTTGAAAATTTTTAAAAATTTCATTTTTTTCAAAAAAATTTTACATAGCAAAACATTGCTGTTTCAACCCATTTCACATACATTTTGTCCCTAGTGCTTTGTCCTGTCCCCTGCCTGCATTTTGTCTGTTCTTTCTGCCTGGAAACTGAGAAAAGTCCATGGCGTCCAAAAAGTGTCCCTTTAGGTCAAAAGCGGGTTTAGATCAGCTAGAGAACAGCGATAGTAAATCAGAACCACTTGCAGAATTGAGTGATAATGATTCGTGGAGAAATTCGTCATCAGACACTGAAAATGATTTTGCGACTTTGCTCAGCGATGTGCGAACTTGGCGCTATATTTCAAATTTCAGTGTTTTTGGTTTGATTACATTATTGAATTAAATTTATTATTATTATATTATTATTTTTCATGATTATTTATTAAATTATAATTTATGATTTCGTGTTTCAAATTTTATCATACTCGGGATGTTTAATAGACTCTTGTTCAGACAGATTTCAGTGAGTTATTCCTACAAATTACAGCCTACAATAAAAAAAACTACATATTTCAATGCAAAATAATGGTACCGCTTTCAGCACCAAAAATCTGAAATAATCATACCGCCAGGGAGGTTAATAACAGGTTAATAGTTATAGATACAGTCCCGTGCTTATGCGTTTGAGCCCTAGGTGGGCCTTAATCATAGCTATGATGGTTAGGACTGGTTCGCCCCGTTAATCAGGGTGATTTAGTAACTTTGTGTTTGATAGTTTTCTTTACATTAAGAATTTAGGTTTTAAGGTTTTATGCATATTATATGAAAACTTCACCCAGGTGCACAACGAAGATCTTATGACTAAGTGCTTACGATGGGTTGTGTTTTCTCCTTGTTTCTGTTTTTATCATTTGATACTTCCCTGGCATATGTTGTAGCTTTTTGTTTTTGGTATCTGTACTTGGAAAGGTGTTTCTAATAAAGATATTTGTGGAAAGAAATTCAATCTCTTCAATGGGACACAGAGGGCAAAAAATCCCTGAAAGGGGTTTTAATCATTTTTATACTTTATACAGAATGAAAAAAAAAAATGGGGGTTCAGATATGCTTGAAATCTGCACATCTATGCAGTTTGCGTTTGATCCGTTTCTGCATTGCGTTTTGCGGTGCGTTTTGTGTTTTTGCACATGCGCTTTTGACACGTTTTTGATGCTTTTTTTTTTCTTGTTGCTAGGCAGATTTAAAACACAAAACGCATCAAAAACATGACAAAAACACATAAAAAATGCACTACATGCTTTTCTGCAGCATTTCCATTGAAGTCTATAGAACCAAAATCGCAACTTTTTGCATTTAAAAAAGTACCTGACCCTTTCCAAAAAACGCACGAGTGAAAACGCAGAGACGTGGACCTGTCCCATGGAAATTCATGTTAAATGGACTGTAGTGCGTTTTCTGCAAAATGCTGCGGAAAATGCTTAGGTGTGAACCTAGGGTAACGGTCAGTACACATCACAAAAAATGCACTGCAGATCTGTTCCTTTCCGGATGCATTTCTGTATGTGCATTTTTAACTTTTTTTTTTGTATGTTCTGATGCATTTTTTATGCATTTCCAGATGCTTTTTTCCTTCTTTTCCTGTTTTTCTTTTACTGTAGTGGGGTCCGGAGCATTTTTTTTATGCATTCCAGTGCATTCTGGTGCATTTTTATGCATTTTACTGTTTTCTAGTACAGCCCAGTGCATGACAAATGCAGTAAGTTCTACTTTTTCTCTAGATCTGACCACACTGGTGTGAACTATGCCATTGGAGATCATATCACCTACTTTGCATGCGTTCTTGATGCAGAAATTCATCCACTGCATGTGGTGTGAACTGGCCCTTAAAGTGGTTGTAAACCCTCACATATCATAATACAAAAAGTGCAGCACTTAAATTAACAGGTTTGTGGAATGTGGTGTCTGCTGTGTGTGGAGTACAAATTAGCACCACAGGATTGGAGTATCGTCATCTGCCGCGGGTATGTTTGGGGTTCACCCCTAAAGCGCTCATTGCTTTTCATTAGATCGAAAGCCCAACAGCTCCGGTAAGGGCTCGTACTCACTTGTGGTTGCCACTAGATTCTTGGAGTGTCACTCTCTCTCTTCAGACTCATTGGAAAAGTGGGTCCTTTTTTCTCTTCTTTGATGGTTGGAAACATATTTATTATGGTGAACATTTATTTGTGAATGGACTTTCTTTGGAGCAGTTTCATTTTTTCCAGTTATTTAATTTTTTTTAGCGCTGCACTTTTTGTTTTGTGATATTTGAGGTTGTGCATCTTTCACCTGTGTTAGCTGCTTTTATTATAGAGTTTAGTCTAAGTGCAGAATTATATTGAGTTTGAAACCCTCACATATACCCAGTGAAGTGACTAGCCTCGATACACAGAGATTAAACAAATCCTCCTACATACGTTGTACCTGTTTTTCCAGATAATCTTTCCCCTACATCCATTCAAAGTGCAGAATTTACACAGGATCTCTCAGTTCTGAAAAGCAGGGGGAGGGGAGCTGAAGTTACATCAGTGAGGTGAGCTCTGAGAGCTGATTGGAAGGAAGAGACGCACCCCCTCCACACAGAAACAGAGCTGAGGCTGTCAATCACAGACTGTACCAGTTTTCTTTTGGTGTCAAGAAAACTCATCAGAAGTGACTCATGCTTATAGAAGAGGAATGAGGCAGCAGACAGAAATGACACTTAGTAGTCTGGATTGAGACAAGCACACACTATAGCTCTGTTGGATATGCTTTGTTCATATTTTATGTCTGAGGTTAATAAGCACTTTAATGATAAGTAATTATTATTATACAGGATTTATATAGCGCCAACAGTTTGCGCAGCGCTTTACAATATAAGGGAGACAGTACACTTACAATACATTTCAGTACAGAAGGAATAGGAGGGCCCTGCTCGTGGAGCTTACAATCTAAAGTAATAAGGCCCCGTGTAGATCTATGTGTGTGCATAAACTTTTTTTTGTAGCGTAGGCAGGTGTGTTTTCATGTATCAATGTGCGTTTCCTTTGTGCATTGACATGCAGTTTGACATGCCTTTAATATGTTTTTGAATTTAGAATTTGCAGTGGATTGGGTTAACTGCCATTGACAAAGGCTTACTAATACTTGTTTTCAGTGTATCAAAACACATATTTAATGAGCTGACAGTGGGTTTAAGTGCACTGGGCCTCACAATGTACTAAAACATGAAAAAAAAACAGACACGTCATATTTTCTGCAGTGCTGAGATGGGAACAAACATTATGTTTATTATAAGAAACCAAGGTTGTTACACATGTGTTTAAGCGCGTTGGAGCATGTGCTTTTAAAATGCTACTTTGTAAATGGCTTCCAAGTGTTTCTGAGAGTTGCACACTCTCATCACCACTTTCTAGAGCACAAAGTACACAACAAAACATACAATTAGTTCCTTTATTATATAAATACTGTCAGATGTCTGAATGATTAACCTCCCTAACGGTATTCCCGAGTGTAGCTCGGGGTAAAATGTCAGTACCAAAAGCGATAACCCCGAGCTACACTCGGGCTTACCATGCAGCGCTGTATAGGGAGTCCCTGCAGCACTTACCTTGTCCTTCGCTCCCGCGATGTGTCCACTGCAGCATCCTCGGCCATCTCCTCCGGCTGATGCCGGCATCCGGCTGCAGTGTTCCGGTCCCTGTGACGTCGGGACGTACGGGCGCCGCCGGCGGCGGGAAATTTGAAAATTTTAAAAAAAGTAATTTTTTTCAAAACGATTTTACATGGTAAAACATTGCTGTTTCAACCCATTTCACATATATTTTGTCCCTAGTGCTTTGTCCTGTCCCATCTGCATTTTGATTGTTCTTTCTGCCTGGAAACTTAGAAAAGTCCATGGCGTCCAAAAAGTGTCCCTTTAGGTCAAAAGCGGGTTTAGATCAGCTAGAGAACAGCGATAGTAAATCAGAACCACTTGCAGAGTTGAGTGATAATGATTCGTGGAGAAATTTATCATCAAACACTGAAAACGATTCTGCGACTTTGCTCAGTGATGTGCGAACTTGGCGCTATATTTCAAATTTCAGTGTTTTTGGTTTGATTATATTATTGAATTAAATGTATGATTTAGAATCTTGTTCAGACAGATTTCAGTGAGTTATTCCTAAAAATTACAGCCTACAATAAAAAAACTACATATTTCCATGCAAAATAATTGTACCGCTTTCAGCACCAAAAATATGAAATAATCATACCGCCAGGGAGGTTAACAGAACCAGAGCACAGACAATTCTCATACCCATTGAACTTTGCTTTCTACACAGGGCACAATGGCCAGAAGGTTTCCCTGGCAGATCTGCGGTGGTTTTTTGCAAAGTCAAAGGTCCCTATTAGCCTGGCGGTTACTGAATACTCTTCTATTCTGAATGATTTAAAGGAGGCACGTTTTCTGTCTGAAGAGGAGTCACTGGTAAGTGCATTCATTCATTATACTTTACAGCTGGAAAAAATGTCAGCCATAACCAGGGGCGGACTGACCATTTGGGAACTCAGGCACTGCCCGAGGGCCCGGGGTCAGTAGGGGGACCCATGAGATGCCCCTGGTACCTTTCATAGGCTTTTTTGGGTGTGGTTTGAGTGTGGTTGAGGACACAGGGGTCCCATGATCCCTTATTGCCTGGGGGCCCCATGAGTTGTCAGTCCACCCTCGGCCATAACCAATACAAGAGGGCCCTGGAGTACAGCTAGAACAATACCTATAGGATGTAACAAATGCTGAGATAAGATATCAGTCACACAGCATGAGCATTATTTTTAATGAGCAAGGGCTTATGTACATATCATATTATGACACATCTGTACGGAAACCCAAAAACAAAAATTTTATATATTGTAGGTTACTAGTCTTTAAATGTGATGGCTGCATTAGTTTACTTTTTTACCCATAATTTTCACCTGGTGATCCTGTGTATATCACACTTTCTGTTTCCTTGTGGATAAACGTATTTATAAACTATATCTATAGAAGAAGCGATGGCTGGCACACAGGCTGGACTACAAACGTGTCTACCTTAACCTCCATTACAAGGTTAACTGGATTGATGGGATTAGTAGTTTAAACAGTCTCTTTCATACTTGTGGTGGACTGTGTTGCCCTCTGATCCATGTTTGGAGTACTTTTCAGAGGGCATTTGACAGGTGGTGAGCGGCGCTATATCTCCTCTTCACAACCTGATTAACCCTGTAATGCTGCACTACTGCATTGCATGCGGTTGCAGTGTGGCCTCATTGAACTCAGTGGCCAAGTTTGGCAGGTGGTATCACCTGTCAAACTCTGTACCCCGCATTAAAAATGCTGCGGCTGTGAAGAATATCAAATCCGATCATATCTGCCTGTGATTTGAAATGCCTGAGTGTGAATGGAGCCTAACGAACTACGGTGTAGCGCTAGCAGAGATTGTGTATGCAACTGTGGGTATAGCATTAGAACTTTTTTTTTTTTTTTAATGGTTGAACTGGAAGGACTTTTGTCTTTTTTCAGCCAGACTAACTATGTAACTATCTACTATGGCTGCCCCCTTATAACTATATGATTACAAATTATACATAGAAATGTTACCACACATTGATTTGGTTATATATGTCAAGATGATGTTTTTTACAAAGTGATCTCTCACCTAGGAGCTGCAGGCCGATCCGAAGTCTGTCCATCGAAGTATATATGATTGTCTATGCTACATAGAAGAAAAACACTTCCTGATACAACATTTCTTTTGGCACTTATTCCAGAAACCTCAGTTGAAGAAATATCCTGACCTAAAACCCATTTATAAAGGTAGGTTAGAAAAGAACTCCACTACTTTAAAGTGGTTGTAAACCCTTACATATGCTTAGTGAAGTGACTGGCCTCAGGTCATACACAGAGATGAAACAAATCCTCCCAACACAAGTTGTACCTGTTTATCTGCAATTTTCTCTACATCTGTTCAAAGCACTGAATTCATAAAGCTTGTCTGATGGTTCAGAAAAAAGGGGGGAGGATAGCTGAAACTACACTCTGTAGAGCTCAGTGAGAACTGATTGGACAGAGGAGACACCCCCCCTCTTCACACAGCACATAGGGACAGAGCTGAGGCTATCAATCACAGGCGGTGTGATGGAGATCCCTCCACTTTAACCGTTTTACCTCTTGGTGTCAGGAAAACTTTTCAGAGAAATGACACTCAGTGCTCTGGACTGAGAAAAGTACACACTATAGAGGGATCTGCTTTATTCATATTTCATGTCTGAGGTTTAAAACCACTTTAAGCACATTGAATTAAAATATTTTCAGGTGGTATATTTTAGATCAAATAAAATAATGATTTAAAGCTGAATTCCACGTATGATCATTATTGCATACTCACATTGGTGCAGCTTAGCATAATGTAAGTTGGCATATCTCATACTTGAGGGGCCGCTGAGGACTCTTACACTCACTGTAGTAGTCAACTCTACTACAGTGAAATTGTCAGTCTCCTGAGTCCTGTGTGAGCATCTTCTGCTATGCACACTGACCACAGGGGATCGCTTACTTGGCACTGCCGCCATTCAGAGAATGTCTTGTATTTTTTTCAAGGACAATGGAGATCATGACTGCATGCCCTTTATCTCCACCCTGTCCAATCTGAGAACAACTTGCAATTGTTAAAAAAAAACCACAAGGCATTCTGTGAATGGGAGCAGTGCCAAGTAAGCGACACCCTGGAGTCAGTGTACAAAGGGGAAGCCGCTACACACAATGCTAAGATTTTAATGGGCCTTAGTATAAAATAAATGTGAGGCATACCACCATCCTCCTGCACTGTATTAAAAGACAGTAACAGCCCACCAACTGCATATGTTGACTCCCAATTTGTTACTACACTGTGCCCTCCAACTTAATGGGAAGATCCCTGCTGCAGGTTTAATTCATTTTTATTGGAAGGGTAAAGCCATTCTTTCTTGCATTTCAGTTAGCTGTAATGTTGTTGACAAATATTAGTATACCCATTGGAACAGACAAGTGCAACCCATACCTGAGCAGTGTGTGTGTGTACTCACATGTGTAGTCATAGAGTAGCTCTTTAACTGACACCCCTCAGGGTGACAGTGTCAGTCCTGGTACCTGAGAGCACAGAATTATATGCCAGTTTACCATACTGAATGATACACTGCCATAACAATTGCTTTTCTTTCTTTCTTTTTTTTTTTTGTTTTAATTGATTTTGCTCTTTTCAATCAGTCATAGGTACACCTTAAAGTGATACTAAACACACACTGTTTAATTTACTTTATTATTATTATTATTATTATACAGGATTTATATAGCGCCAACAGTTTGCTCAGCTCTTTACAATATAACAGTAGACAATACAGCAACAATACAGTTCAATACAAGAGGGATAGGAGGGTCCTGCTCCTTGGAGCTTTGTTCTCTTTAGTATGTGGATAAAGGCGCTGTATTTTTTTTAATTAAAAAAAACCCCATCTAATTCCCAGCTCTTTCCCAGCCAGTAGTCACATGGGCTGTTCAGATCTGGTAGGGAAGAAATGCTCAACATAGAAATTCACTGAAAACTGAGAATGTGCAGTAGCTGACAACACTGCTCTGCAAAATCCCCAACTGCATTGGGGACATGAACAGGACAGGGAGATAGGGAAGAGCAGTATTAACCAGGTTTGCTTGCAGAATACAGAAAATAAATCTCATAGTGACTGAGTGAGTATCAACAGCAGGTAATGAAGCATTTATTGATAGCTTTTTTTATGATGTGGGTTTAGTGACAGTTTATTGCTGCAGTATAATCAGATTTTATCTTAACTTCCTTCCTCTGCCCTTATCAACATGGTAATGAACACTTTTAAATACAACCTTTTCATTACATATCTTATTTTAGACCCACTGACATCATCACTAGGTCTCTGCTCTTCTATATGCAGCGCAGACATGCTGATTGGAAGGGCCAGCAGGGTGATGTACATAACGTCCTGAAAATATCACAGTACCCTGCCTCAGTACTACTCTCAAGAGTCCATAGCCCTGATGCAATCAGTTGGCTGGATCTTGGTAGGAGTTTTGCAAATATTAAAATTCTTTCATGGGTGGAGGTCAGTCTGGAGGAGTGGGTGTTCCTAGGAAGACCGCATTTGCAGTAAGAGTCACATGTGATGCTGACCCTTAATGATTGAAAAAATTGAAATCCAATGAATGAAAGTGGCAGGCCAGAGACAGGGGCAGTAATGCTGGGGAGGAGAGAACTAGATGATGCTGGATGTCTTTAGCCAAGTAATGAGGTGGGCTCTATTTGAAATGCTGCAGCTTCTAATGCACACTGTGACTCACAAGGAGCAGTGAAATCAACATTTTAGTACACAGCTTTTACAACTGTGCAAGATTGAAAGTAAGGCTGGAGTTCTGCTTTAAGTCTCCTATAGTTTTTAAAGGAAATCAAAATTCAACAACAGGCCAGACAGCAAAGATACACGAATGTCAAACCATATTGCACATGAACCTTTTACATATACATTGCAAGAATTATTCAGTACCTTTTTTTATTTATTTAATTTATTTATTTCAGGTACTTATATAGCGCTGTCCATTTAGGCAGCACTTTACATATATATTGTACATTCACATCAGTCTCTGACCCTCAAGGGGCGTACAATCTAAGGCCCCTAACTCACATTCATACATATACATACTAGGGACAATTACCCTACCAGCATGTCTTTGGATTTTTTTTACCAAACTTTGCATGTACAGTATATGTTTTCTGGTTTTTAACCCTTGCTAACAGTTTGATGTTGTTCTTGCAGAATACAAAGAAGGAAAATACCGGAAAAGTGCCCAGGTCACTGCCGACATAGATAAAGACCGGATCATTTTTTCTCAGGATAAAGTAAAGATTTGTTTGGCAATAACAGATCTATTCCCATTTGTACATGGATTGCAAGATCTGACTATTCTCTCTGAAATAGAATCACTGGTGAGTATTCAGATTTATTTTTGTTTGTTTCCTAAGCAATGTTTTGCTTACTGACACTATCAGAAGAAGGATCTTCAAGCAGTATTAAACAAAAAATCAAGCATTTATTATATATTGCAACTTAACAATTCTTAGATGCGAAGACTGCATTAGTTTTCTTTTTTATGTTTCTTTACTTTCTCTTTGTGATCTGGCCAGTAAGTCTGTTATTTTTAACTTACTTTAACAGAGCAAGCTGAGCAGACAAAGTAGCAGTTAGAGCAGACATGAGCAAATTTCAGCCCCAGGGCCACATCTGGCACTTTGGCTATCTAGCCAAAGTGGAAGGGCTATCTAGCCCTTCCACTGTCAGCATGCCTCTCTGAGCCTGTCAGCTTTCTTTCTGAGCACCGAGCACAGCTGTCCGTGTGGAGAGCTGCAAGTACTGGAAGGAGAGGGCTGGAGGTACAGTGGGAGGTTTGGTTCTGGCAAGAGAGAATTGCCCTGACACTCTCCCCCCACTCTGCTACCTGATCAAGTTCTCATTGTAGTAGAGAAGCAGCAAAACCACACCTAAGCCACTCATTTTACCACCCCCAACTGCCTGTCTGAAAAAGACCACTTTTATGAGCAGTTGTACCTATTATTACTTGCAGCAGATTTTTGTTTTCTATATGTTTAAGTACTTGTAGACCTTCGCAGGTCCAAAATCCAAAACAGTCCAAATTTCCCCTTTGGAAAAGTAATTGCCCACCCCTGTGTTAGAGGGTTGAAAGAAACCTTTTAACACTGACAGGGGTGTTTACAATGGTCAGCTTGTATTAATTTTTGTTAAACTTTTATCCCAAAAGGAAAAAAAAAAACTATTGTTGTAATAAATGCTCAGAAGGTTTAACTGGAGTTCAGCTTTAATCTGTTAGTCAAGTCCATCTAAATCTGCTAGTTCATCTAACGCTACCTTCTCCACAGATTAACAATGCTGCCGTCCAAAGGTGTCTCCGTTGCTCCTCCATCCAGAGTGGAGACACCCTAAGTGTATTACTGGCAGGATCGTGAGGTGAATATAAAAAAAAATGCTTAATGAAAAAGAAAACTAATGCAGGCACCAGATTTAAAGATTGGTAAGTTGTAATATATCAAAGATTTCTTTTTGGGTTTAATACTGCTTTCAGGATCCTCTAGAATACATTTTCTAGAGTAAGGTGGAGCACATGCTAGCATGACCTGTGTGCCCTGATAGTGTTTCCCTGAGTGGAGGGTCAGGTTGTATGAAACATTGACAGAAAGAAGTATTGCAGTGCATTTTTTTTATACCCTTGTGGTCAGCAATCAACTTTTGAGTTCCCTTGTGGAACCCCCCCCCCCCCCCCCCAAAAAAAGTTAAAAGTCAGCATCTACAATTACTGTAGTTGCTGACTTTTCTATTTCAATGGTTTTTATTAATTTTTTAAACAATATAAAGCAGAGGCAATAAAACACGCCCACACAGGGGCTATCAATTGCACAGATAAAAAAAAATGCAAAATAAAAAAAAAGGAAAAACAGTGCTCTAACGCCAACAGGGCAAAAGGTACGCCCACACAGGGGCTATCAATGGCACATAAGTTGCAAAACATTAATGTAACTGCCTATAACAACTAAATGCAGCTGTCCAGTCACATCAAATACAGAGAGAAAGAGAAAAAGGAAGAAAGAGGTAAGAAAAAAAAAAAAGGGGGGGGGGACAAAGAGCAGGGGTCCAAGAGCGCCAATACCGAACACCATTACATCCCCAGACTAGCCGGGGGGAGTGAGGGAAAGGCATATTGCAACCACGGCTCCCATATTTTCAAAAATTTACGTTGTGAGTCGTTGCAGATACTCGACATCTGTTCGTTGAGCATCATAGTGGTTATACGATCCCGCATCCCCTGAAGAGGGACAAACGGACTCTTCCAGCCCTGAGTAATTGTTCTAGTGGCCGATAAAAACAGATAGCAAGCCAACTTCTGCTGGTGAGCCAAGAGGCCCGATATGGGACAATGAAGCAAAGCATTCCGAGCATCCCGGCATATGGAGAGATGGAACAAGGTGAAAAGGAGGCCAAACACACGAGACCAAAAACGAAACAGTCTCGGGCATGACCACCAGATATGCAATACATCTCCACGATGGCCACAACCCCGAAAACATTGATCACTACAGGCAGGGTTAGCCCGGGCCAACAGAGCCGGAACCCAGTACCAACGAAACAATACCTTATAGGCTGCCTCCAGTGTGGCCGTATGTAGTTGCTGACTTTTATGAAAGGACACTTACCTGTCCAGGGATCCAGTGCTGTCCTCCCCTGGGCTGGTTTCTTCGCTGGTCTTCAGGTCCCCAGCGCCAGCATGTTTACTAAGAGAAGTTGTCTGTGACTCCTTGTTGCGACTTCCCACTGCATACACACAAGCCACGTTGAGCTTTGTGAACAGTCCCACTGTCTGCTCCCAGAAGACTGCAGGCAAAGAGAGAGCCAAACTTCCGCTCGGATCGCTTAGGCAATCCGGGTGGAAGTGGGAGCAGGTGCCTGTCAATACTAGGTAATTGTTCTCCCAAAAAATTAAACTGTCCAAAAGTAGTAAGGGGGGTGGGGGAGTTGGACAAACAAAACTTCCTATTTTGGATGAAGTTACACTTTAAGCTGGCTATAGATGGATCAAATGTCCAATTAGATTTATTTATTTATTTCAGGTACTTATATAGTGCCGTCAGTTTACACAACGCTTTACATATATATTGTACATTCACAGCAGTCCCCGCCCCTGAGGAGCATACAATCTAAGGTCCCTAACTCACATTCATACATACACATACTAGGGCCAATTTAGACAGGAGCCAATTCACCTCCCAGCATGTCTTTGGTATGTGGGAGGAAACTGGAGTACCCAGAGGAAACCCATTCAGGTCCAGAGAGAACATGCAAACTCCAGGCAGGTGGTGCTGTGGATGGGATTTGAACCGACGACCCTAGTACTGCCAGGCGGATGTGCTAACCACTTAGCCACTGTGCTGCCCATGTAGCTATTCCTTGGGGGGGGGAGGTGGACAAATTAAACTTCCCATTTTGTGGGAAGTTACACTTTAAGCTGGCCATAGTTGGATATAATGTCCGATTAAATTCTGTAGCTATTCCTGTTTGTTTTTAATGGACTTTTATCCAGGGTTTTTTTTAGTGGGAACGCGGGGGAATAGCACAGAATGTATGTAATAACAAGGGGTGCTGGGGTGTGCTGTAGGGTTTGTTGATGCTGGCTGCTGGGGGGAATTATTGTTTCTGGGGATCAATTGTTGCTGGGTGGGGATCAATTATTGCTGGGGGGTCTTATGTTGCGGGGGGGTTATGTTACTGGAGAAGAGGATCACTTGTTGCGGGGGGGATCTACCATTGAGGGAGGGGTCTATTGTTGCTGGTAGCTAGAGGGTCTATTGCTGGTTGCTGCTGGGATATCTGTTATGGATGGTGGGGGTCTATTGTTGCCTGGGTGGATATATACTGTATTGTTGCAAGGGGTCTATGGATGCTGCAGGGATCTATTGTTGCTGAGTGGATCTTTTGTTGTTGGGAAGATCTTTTGTTGCTGAGTGGATCTATTGTTGTTGGGAAGATCTATTGTTGCCGTGGATCTATTGCTGCTGGTGGATCTATTGTTTCTGATGGGGGGGTCTATTGTTCCTGGCTGCAGGGGATCTATTTTACTGTTTTTCTTGTTGTTTTTATTAACAAATTCCATACAAATGACAGAAAACCAAAAAACAATACTTGGTTCTGTATTCTCTAAAAAGAACAGTACTGAGAGGTGAGTAAGGAATGAAACCAAGGGATGGTGCTCAGAGGGGGGTAGAGGCAAGGGGTGATCAGGAAGGGCGGTTTACTGCACCTACTCTTTGAGGAAAAAAGCCCTGCTTTTATCAAAGCAGCTAGTAGAGAATAGTGAAGATATTAAGGCATTGGTCATGTGGTCTGTTGAAGGCAAAGATCCATGTTCCAGCAAATCCACCAATTGTATGATTCTTCCTGAAAGCCGGTTCCCTAAGAAGCTTGGTCAGTGACCATGAGATCAGTGCCATGTCATCAGCGATGCAATTGCTGTTGGAAGAAGCACCAGTTTAGGATTTCTGGGGTATACAGTATATGGTCAATGGATACAAAAGGCCAATCAAATCCCTTCCAATCAGTGTTTACTGAGTCATTTATATATAAACATATAATCTCTCAGATAAATAAAGCAGGGTATACAGGTTCAGGTTTTTTTTTAATTCAATAAAAAAAATGACAGACTATCACATCAACACAAACAGGGTTGATGCAGGGGTCTCTTCCACTGTCCTATTGTATTCTAACAGAGGAGACTTCAATCCCCTCCCCCCCCATCCCTGATCAGAATACACAGATCAGCACTGCAGCTATTGACTGCAAGTGCTGATCGAATGCTGGTTTGCCAGCAAAACCTTTTGACAAAAGCCGATTAGACCAGCTTCTGTTGAACAGACAGTAGTACACATTGAAATTCTGTCAGTTCAACAGGATGTTTGGTCCATGTATACCCTAAAGTGGCTGTAAACCCTTACATATACTCAGTGAAGTGACTGGGCTCAGGTGATACACAGAGATGAAACAAATCCTCCTATATAAGTTGTACATGTTTATCTGCAGTAATCTCTTATCTACATTCATACAAAATGCTGAATTTTAAAGCTTATCTGAGTGTTCACAAAACAGGGTGGAGAGCTGAAACTACAAACTGCAGATCTCAGTGAGGAGAGCTCTGAGAACTGATTGGAGGGAAGAGACACCCCCCTCTTCACACAGCTGGCAGGAACAGAGCTGAGGCTGTCAGTCTGCTGGAGGTCCCTCCCCTGTCACCATTTTTCTCTTGGTGTCAGGAAAACCTGCCAGAAGTGATTCATGCTGACAGCAGAAGAATGTAGCAGCAGATAGAAATGACACTTTGTGCTCTAGATTGAGACAGGTACACACTAAGGAGGGATATGCTTTGTTCATATTTCATGTCTGAGGTTTATAACCACTTTAAGGTACACATTCCACCACATCAGGCTTTAGTCTAGAAAATGAGCAATTGGAAATCCTGCATTTCCCAGTGATTACTGAACAAGACCTGACAACTACTGTAACTCATATGACATTATTTACAGACCCTAATAAATCTTTTCTTCCAAGAGCGATGCTCTGCTATTTACTATATGTAATGAAGTTCCAATAAATCAATAACATGAACATACTTTTTTATTTTCATTTTAAATCTGATTTTGAATTCTTTATTCTGTACCTATTTTTCTCTGAAACATCTTCAATAAAAAGTAGAAAAATAAAACACAGATAACACTGCAATAATAACTCAGAATATGTGCTCACATGGTATGCTTTAAAGCCCAACTCTGGGCATATAAAAATGATCCCTTAATTTTTGTCTAGGGGATCCTTTGCTCCTCCCTGCAGCTAGACCAGTCCCTGCTGCATCTGCACCCCCACACTCTACTGGTCTAAGGTCCTAACATCAAGACCAGACAGGGTCCATAGCACTACTCTGGATGTGAGGATGCCGAGGGACAATCCACTTCTTGGTCATGGGGGAGCGCTGCCTGCTGGGAGGGCAGATGATTAGGTAAGTAAAATCGTTTCTCCTCTCCTCTATACAAAAACAAGCAATTAACCCTTGCAATGTGGGTGCAGCCGCACAGCAAGGCATAATTTCTAATTTGACTGGAGTTGGGCTTTAAACTTTCCCTTTGAGCATTGGTTATATATAAGCAAGGGATGATTGCTACCAAATTTGCTTGAAATCATAATAATGGTCAAATATTTTTATTTATACTATTTTATTTTATACTATTTGGCTAATTGGGATGACTGCCAGCCCACTCCTTAAAAATGAAAATGCACCCTTGACCAATATGAGTGTCCTTATTAGTGGAACAATCAATTGAAAAACAGTTGTATGGTGATCAGATCATGGCTGAACATCCATACGCTATTTAACATCTCCAGCCAAGAAACCAGGGCAGTGTAAATGTTAGATGATGGATAACGTGTGGCATCCAATTAGGTTTCTTAGCTTACTGTAGAGTAAAAGGTGAAAATGGATTGGTGTCAAATCACTACTTGCCCTGTCTATATAATGATAATGCACGTTCACCTTGTAAATCTAATTTGTTTTGTTTTACAGAAACTGCAAGCTGACCGGAGGCCAGTGTCCAGAGTCATATATGAGTGTCTATCTCTCATTGAGAAGAAGGATATGAAGTTAAGCATTGTCTTTGAATATATATTCCAGGAATATTACCTGAAGTTATACCCAGATCTCCAGGAAATATTAAAAGGTTTGTTTTACCAGTTTTTCTAAACTAGCAAAAGTGTGCCCATTGCAAAATGGACAAAGTTGGGCATTTGACAATTTGGTTGTTGGGGAATGAGAGGGACTATACACACACACAATACACACATCTCCCCCTCCCTGCAAGCAGTATAGAGCCCTGGTGCCCAGCCTGCGGCCCGAAGGTACATGATGTGTGGACCTTGGACCTTATCAGTCTGTAGTGGGAACATTGATTAGGGTAATAGCATTGATCTCTACCAGCCTCATGTAACATGTGCACAGTTTTATATGGTCTTCTGCATCACATTCCCAGCCAAAAAATATTGCATGTCTGCAGTCTCTAACCCTCATTTCCTCTATTAGGTCTGCAGTCCTCTCAAGCATTACATATATTGAACAGTATGTGTGACCCTTTGGTGATGTTAGGGGCAGAATTTGAGGCCCCCTTTTTAGTTGAAAACCACTAGTTTATAGGGTGTTAGGAACTTCCTCACATGACATTCCATCTCCTCTTCCTTGCACTTCTGATGGAGGTAGCAGCAGCATTGGCCTGGTGGGTTGGGTGGTAGGTGTGTAGGTGAGAGCAGAGGGAAGTATCAGGTGCATTATTGAGAGTGGAGGAAGGGGGTTGAGGTGGTGGCAGCGGCTGAGATGAGAGTAGTCAGGGGGATATGATGATGGCAGGCATGGTGGCTGTTGGTGAGAGGTGAGGTTATGGGCAGTCTGTCCAGCAGTAGGACCATTTCCTCAGGGGCAGGCCACTATGCTGTGCCAGGTGCTGCTCCCCCACCTAAAGCAGGAAACCTGAGAGCAATAGCTGGGTGGCTGTATATGAATACTGGGTGGAGAAATGTTGCCAAAAACATTTGTGTTTTCAGTCACATTCCTGAAGATTATTTTTAATATTGTATAGGATAAAATTCCATCCCTAACTTACATGTAGTCTGTGTAAATGTGCTAAAAGGCCAGATGTAGGTGTACAATTAGCCATGACCTGATCAGCTTCAATCAGATGGCTTGGTGCTTAGCACTTTAGCCTTGTACCCTGGGCTTATGCATTCATTATCTACCAGGAACATGACCCATATCTTATTTGGATGTCACTGTAAGATTTTGCCAACAATCACTCTCTCCTTAGTCACTTGTTCTGATATGGCAGCATTGTTATGTAGCCATGAATGCTGGAGCCTGGTGCATGACATTGATCTGTGCTGAACTTTCTGTAAGGAGTTATCATTAAAACACACTTTTCAGTGTCTCCATTTGCCTTGGTTGACTAGAATCCACGTACACTAAAGATGACAAAAAGCCCATAAGAAGGTGCTACAAATGAGCACAAGCACCACAACAGAAGGCCATCTGCATGGAGTTTATTTTTTCCCCACAATTGCAAGGTTTTCCTCTATTTTTGGTTTCCTACCACAGTTTTGAGTGAAGTAAAAATGTTCTGGAAAACCACCTGGGAAAATTGCAGAAAATATCAGAAGGACCACATTACTAACAGCAAACACTAGCTTTCAAAAAATTTCTGCCTCCAGGCTCCACTCTTTAGTCAGTGTAGAGCAGGGTTTCTCAACCAGGGGTCCATGGAACCCTAGGGTTCCTCCAGAGGTTGCAAGGGGTACCTTGAGCGATGAACAATTTCTTCCTCTCAGATAAGTTCCCAATGACACCACTGATCTTTTTAGCAATTTGTAAGAGGGTAATTCTTCCTACTGACCACGTGTAAGGAGCATTCTTCCCACTGACCATCACACTACTGTATCATGAGTTGTAGATATAGTACTTTTTAGTAGGGGTTCCCCGAGACTGAAAAGTGATTTTTAGAGTTCCTCTGTGTTGAAAAGGTTGGGAAAGGCTGGTGTATCCCTTAATGCAGAGTCTGGACCCTGAGAGGCCTATCAGCCGTTTTCTCATGGTAAAATGAGATGCTTATACAATTAAGAGACAGTCACTGTTGGTTGGGCCTGGATGCTTAGCAGGGCTGCTCTGCAACCCTTGTTGTTTTACATTTTGTAGCAGTTATTCTATTTTCATACCTCAGGCAAAAAGCAATAGGGAGACCAGACCTGGAGAGGAGAAGGGATTTCTGCCCCAGATTTTGTACCTACTTATTTATTCTTCTTTGCTTTCACCATTCAGAACCATGTGAAGAACAAGTGGAGCTGTTCACTGAGTGGAAAAATTGCTCTGATTATATGCGGAACCTTTTTCAGGTTACAAAAACTGGCATCAGCCAAGCTATCAATGAACGGTTTCCATTCCTATATGGCCTTCATGATATAGGACTGCTCTCGAGGATGGAATTACTGGTAAGAGGCATGCAGCCAAATCTGTTGTGAGCTTAACCCCAATGTTTTTACAGTATTTGATATTGTAAGGCAGGGCAGTCACAGATATTTTATAGAAAAATGTCTTCTAAAGACTATACTGTGAAAGCTAAATAAATTAGATAAAGGAACATCAACAGCCATATCATATAACCACAAAATGGTCCACAAGGTCCCTTTAAAGTGTTTGTAAACTCAGTGAATTGACTGGCTTCAGATGATACACAGAGATGAAAAAGATCCTTCTACATAAGTTGTACCCATTTATCTGTAGCTCTCTCTTCTCTACATCTGTTCAAAGTGCAGAATTTTTAAAGCTTGTCTGAGCTGTCAGAAAACGGGGCGGGGAGCTGAAATTACTGCAAAGCTCAGTGATGGGAGCTCTGGGAGCTGATCAGAGGGAAGGGACACCCCCCCCCCCCTTCAAACAGCACACAAAGGAACAGAGATAAAGCTGTCAATTAGAGGCTGTATGCTGGACATCCTTCTCCTGTCACCTTTTTTCTCTTGGTATCAGAATAAACATTTCAGAAGTGACTCATGCTGATAGCAGAGGAACAAAGCAGCAGACAGTGATTACACTTAGTGCTCTGGATAGAGACAGATACACACTATAGAAGGATATACCTTGTTCATATTTCATGTCCGAGGTTTACAACCACTTTAAAGCACAACTAAGGTCTATCTTTTCTAATGATGAATGATCTTTTCTGCAGCTCAGCTTTGCTTCATTAAAATAGTTATAAATTTGAAAATGTTACTTAATTTGCTCATTTTGTAAAAAATGACTTTTAAACGTTAGTCTAGCGCTGTCGACACCTGAGTGTTAAGGGTACATTCGGTGGGTTTTTGTTCATCCTTGGGTCCCATGGTGTCAGTGAAAGTTGCTGGCAGTTTCAGTAGCAGATTGTGGGAAAAGGAGGATTACATACACTTTATTTTTTATTTTTTTTAACTTTTTATTTCATACTTATACAAACAACATTAAAACATTCCATCTTCCAAAATATACTTTTTTCTCCCCTAAATGAATAAATACATTCTATAACCCCTCCATCTCCCACCCCCCCCACCCCATCCCCACCCATCCCCCCCATCATTGTCTTATCTTTCTCTATCTGTATCCATTTCTCCATAACTTGTTATTCCGACCAATCTCATCGTGATTTCTGAGGCTACCTCCTTTACTTTAATTAGTTCTGTATAAGATTCTGCAGTTTTAAAATTTAACCAAACACTCCATATTCTTTTAAATATTCCCATCTTATCCTCTTCTAAACTTCTCACTCTATCTATCCAATCCACCACCCTTGGAACCTCTGCCACTAACCAAAATTTTGTTATCAAACCCTTTGCTGCACTGATTAAATGGTACAATACTTTATTCCTATTTACTTCCGCCATGGGCTCAGAATAGTAGAATAAGCATTTCAGTGGGTCCCCTTGAATATCTACCCCACATATTTCCTTGATATAATACGCTATTTCCCTCCAATAATCCTGTATCCTCGGGCAACTCCACCAGATGTGCTCCATATTGCCCTTTTCTCCACATCCTCTCCAGCACCATGGGGAGCTTTCCCCTTGCTGCTTATGGGTTATACTGGGTGTTAAATACCATCTCGCCAAGCATTATTACATACACTTTAATAGAAAGCCTTGTGATTCTAGTTACCAGCTGTGTATGATCTTTCCAAAATAACTAGCTTATTAAAACTGAACATCCTTGCATTAGGATTCCTTGCTCTGCAAGGGTTAAATGCTCATTAATTCTAGAGGTAGAGGAAAAGTCTGTAATACTTATTCCACATTCCCTCAGCTAGGGTCACTCTTCTTTTCTCTCCAACACTCCAGGTAGGGTAGTGGGCCTTCGGCATCCTTGCTTACAGTGCAGGACTATTCTCTAAGGCCTAAGATATGTCATACACTAGTAGATTTTCTAACAAAGGTTTGTGCGAACATTTGTATATAATTCTCAGCAGCACATTTGATGATATGACAAATGTTGTTCAAAAGTACTTCAGATAGCATTTGCTTTTAACATTCAGTGTTGGAGTGAATGGACTTTCCTGAACAAAAACAACATCCACTGTTAGAAATTCATTTGTTTGAAAAAACATTTTCATCCTTCTCCTTTGAAATTTTTCATCACTGCTGTCGAAAACGAACGTCATTTTTGACCCCGCTAACGATTAGAAAATCAAGCGAATGTTCTTAAAATGCAAATAATCAAAAAACAATTTTGTTAGAATATGGCCAGCTTTAAATAAGAGGTTTTGGGGGACCAATTGTACAGAAGGGGGCAGCTTACCCTGAGCAAAGAGTAAGGCAAGTATTACACCTTATTCTTCTACCCCTGAACTTCACAAACATTTAACATTTGCAGTGTGTGTGTCTTCAGTCACTCCCAGTTTCAGCTGTAATTCATTTTGAGTCAATCACAGTAATGTGCAACATATACGGATGTACATAAAGCTCATAGTGCTTGCAATCTAACTTGCCTGTTATTCAATAGTGAATATCAAGAAATTGCAAATATTACATTAGATGTTTGCTGTTGATAAGAAATTCTTACCATGGTTCTAAAATTGATAGTTGGTGCTGTCGGCACGAAATCCTCTTTTAAATTCCTCACTCTTCTATCTCAAATGTTGCTTTATACAAGAAACATACATAGTTACGTAGTTAGTCTGGCTGAAAAAAGACAAAAGTCCATCCAGTTCAACCATTAAAAAAAAAAAAAAGTTATAATCCTATACCCACAGTTGATCAAGAGGAAGGCAAAAAAAACCAGCAAAGCATGATCCAATTTACTCCTGCAAGGAAACAAATTCCTTTCTGATCCCCCGAGAGGCAATCTGATATTCCCTGGATCAACTTTACCTATCAATGTTAGTATCCAGTTATATTCCGTGTATCCAAGAAAGAATCCAGGACTTTTTAAGGCAATCCACTGAGCTGGCCAGAACCATCTCTTGAGGGAGTCTATTCCACATTTTCACAGCTCTCACTGTGAGGAAACCTTTCTGTGTTTGGCGATTACATTTCTTTTCCTCCAGATGTAAAGAGTGCCCCCTTGTCCTCTGTGATGACCTCAGGGTGAATAACTCTACACCGAGTTCACTATATGAACCACTGATGTATTTATACATGTTGATCATATCCCCCCTTAATCTCCTCTTCTCAAGAGAGAATAAATTCAGTTCTTCTATTCTTTCCTCATAGCTGAGCTCCTCCATGCCTCTTATCAGTTTGGTTGCCCTTCATACATCCTGTGACTTGGCCTCTATGGGGAATAAGCCAGCTTGTTAACTTGAAAGGATCCACACACGGTTTAACTCCTTAAGAAGACAGAGATGGAGAATTCAATGTAGTGTGAAGCCCAAGCCTAGGATTTTTATAAACCACCAAAATGAATTGTCCAGTGCAGTTAAATAAAGTAATGCAGATTTTGCTGTAATGTTCACCTTCTCTCTTGAGCTGCCCGCCACAAACTCATTGCTTTGTGGTCCAGTGCCAAACATCATTCAACTCATATGCTGTGAGCCCAGGTCTTTATGGACACCCTGATTGGGGATTATTCATTATGCTAGCCTGTGTTCATATTACTGCTGCACAGAATGGTGTTCACCTGCCATTACTGCTGCTGTTCGGTGCAGCAATAAGAACTGCCAGCTTCTGACACTGTACAAGAAGGGGTAGGAACCATGATGTCATGTAATCATCCTCTGTGCTTTTGTACTCTGCATAGACTGAGGTTGAGCTAGCTGTCATGGTGGGGTTGGAGGTGGCAAATACTACTACTTAACAACAAAACATGACGTAGGAACATACTAAAACACAAAAGCCTGAACTGAAGCTGGATGCTTGTGTCAGCACATTGAAATATGAGGAGGCAATAAAATCACATATTCTTTGTTTACCTTTACTAATCAAACTCATGCAACAAATCGATTCATGATTGGGGGGGGGGGGTTGTTTACATTGGAAAACGTGCTATCCTACTAATTGTAGAAAAATATGTTTTGCATAACATACAGTACTTTGAAAAAGTATTCATACCCCTTGAAATTTTCCACATTTTGTCATGTTACAACCAAAATCATACATGTATTTTATTGGGATTTTAGGTGATAGACCAACACAAAGTGGCACAGTTGTGAAGTGGAAGGAAAATGATAAATGGTTTTCTAAATGTTTTACAAATAAATATGTGAAAAGTGTGGTGTGCATTTGTATTCAGCCCCGAGTCAGTACTTTGTAGAACCACCTTTCGCTGCAATTACAGCTGCAAGTCTTTTTGGGGATGTCTCTATCAGCTTTCCACATCTAGACTGACATTTTTGCCCATTCATCTTTGCAAAATAGCTCAAACTCTGTCAGACCAGATGAGAGCGTCTGTGAACAGCAATTTTCAAGTCTTGCCACAGATTCTCAATTGGATTTAGGTCTGAACGTTGACTGGGCCATTCTAACACATAGATATGCTGTGATCTAAACCATTCCATTGCAGCTCTGGCTGTATGTTTAGGGTCGTTGTCCTGCTGGAAGGTGAACCTCTGCCCAAGTCTCAAGTCTTTTGACTCTTAGAGGTTTTTCTTCTAAGATTGCCTAAGATTTGGCTCCATCCATCTTCCCATCAACTCTGATCAGCTTCCCTGTCCTTGTTGAAGAAAAGCATTCCCACAACATGGTGCTGCCACCACCATGTTTCACGTGGGGATGGTGTGTTCAGGGCGATGTGCAGTGTTAGTTTTCCACCACACATAGCGTTTTGCTCTTAGGCCAAAAAGTAAAATTTTGGTTTCCTCTGACCAGAGCACTTCTTCCACATTTGCTGTGTCCCCCACATGGCTTCTCGCAAACTGCAAACAAGACGTTTTATGGCTTTCTTTCAACAATGGCTTTCTTCTTGCCACTCTTTCATAAAGGCCAGATTTGTGAAGTGCATGACTAATAGTTGTCCTGTGGACAGATTCTCCCACCTGAGCTGTGGATCTCTGCAGCTCCTCCAGAGTTACCATGGGCCTCTTTGGCTGCTTCTCTGATTAATGCTCTCCTTGCCCGGCCTGTCAGATTAGGTGGACGGCCATGTCTTCGTAGGTTTGCAGTTCTGCCATACTCTCCATTTTTGGATGATGGATTGATCAGTGCTCTGTGAGATGTTCAAAGCTTGATATATTTTTTTATAACCTAACCCTGCTTTAAACTACTCCACAACGTTATCCCTGACCTGTCTGGTGTGTTCCTTGGCCTTCATGATGCTGTTTGTTCACTAATGTTCTCTAACAAACCTCTGAGGGCTTCAGAGCTCAGCTGTATTTATACTGAGATTAAATTATACACAGGTGGACTCCATTTACTAATTAGGTGACTTCCGAAGACAATTGGTTCCACCAGATTTTCGTTAGGGGTATCAGAGTAAAGGGGGCTGAATACAAATGCATGCCACACTTTTCAGATATGTATTTGTAAAAAAATGTTGAAAACCATTTTATCATTTTCCTTCCACTTCACAATTATGTGGCACTTTGTGTTGGTCTATCATATAATCTCAGTAAAACACATTAACATTTTTGGTTGTAACATAAAATGTGGAAAATTTCAATGGCTATGAATACTTTTTCAAGGCACTGTATACCATTCTACGTGCCCTAGTGGTAGCTTCCAGCCAACAGTGTACTTTGATTGATCATTGTTGATCATCATTTATGTTTTTATAATTTATTATATTATTCCTTGCCTTGTATCTGTTTCTTGTAACATGAACACTGTCATTATAAGTGTACTTAAAGAACTGTTTGTTTGACAGAAGCTGCAGGCTGACAAGAGACCTACAAAGGATGTGTTGTACAAAGCTCTGTGTCTCGTTGAGCAGAAGAATGACATAGAAGCACTGTGTGCCTATGTGTTTTCTGAGTTCTACCTAAAGCTATTTCCTAATCTAAGGGTCATCTTGCAGAGTAAGTTTCATAGATGTTATTGGAACACTAACCTTAAATAGACTGATGCATAATGTAAAAAAAATAGAATTTTTGTACTCGCTGTAAAATCTTTTTCTTGGAGTATATTGAGGAACACAGAACGTCATTAATTTCAGGTTATACAGCCAGCTACAAGAGTATTGGATACTATCAAAAAACTGTAGGCCAGCCCAACATAACCCCTCCTTCTACTGTCCCCACACAACTCCTCCGGGAACCCTCCTCCTCCATCCTACGTTCCCTCACCCACATCTTCAATCTCTCCCTCTCTACTGGCGCATTCCCCTCCCCCCTAAAGCACGCGCATATCACCCCCATACTCAAAAAACCCTCCCTGGACCCCACCGACCTGAACAACCTTAGACCCATCTCCCTGCTACCATTTACTTCCAAGCTCCTTGAGCGCTTAGTCTACAATCGCCTAAGCACCCACCTCACTGACAACAACCTCCTCGATCCACTACAGTCTGGCTTCCATCCCCTACACTCCACCGAAACTGCCCTACTCAAAATCACTAATGACCTGCTAACCACCAAAGCTAATGGCCACTACTCGGTCCTCCTACTCCTCGACCTCTCCGCAGCCTTTAACACAGTTGACCACCCCCTCCTCCTTAATAAACTACACTCCCTCGGCATCAGAGACTCCGCTTTCTCTTGGCTCTTCTCCTACCTATCCCAAGGCTCCTTCAGCGTTACCTTTAACGCTACCACCTCCCCCTCTCTGTTGGGGTCCCCCAAGGCTCTGTCCTCGGGCCCCTTCTCTTCTCCATCTACACCTCCTCCCTCGGCAAACTGATACGCTCCCACGGCTTCAACTATCACCTCTACGCCGATGACACGCAAATTTACCTCTCCACCCCTCACCTTTTTAGTCTCCGCCCGTATCACCAACCTGCTGAACGACATATTAGACTGGATGTCGCTCCATTTCCTCAAATTGAACCTTTCCAAAACCGAGCTCCTAATCTTCCCCCAATCCGCGAACCCCCCCCACCCTCTCCATCACGACCAACAACGCCACCATCAGTCCCACCCCGCAAGCCAAAGTCCTAGGTGTCACTCTAGATTCAGACCTGTCCTTCCAACCCCATGTCCAATCGTTGGCAAACTCATGCAGGCTCCACCTCCGCAACATCTCCAAAATACGTACATTCCTAACCCCAGACACTACTAGACAACTCGTTCACTCCCTCATTATTTCACGTCTGGACTACTGCAACTCCCTTCTCACCGACCTACCTCATCACAGACTATCCCTGCTTCAGTCTATCCTGAACTTAGTGGCCAGACTCATCCACCTTACCATCTGCTCCTCTTCTGCCACCCCCCTCTGTCATTCCCTCCACTGGCTCCCGATTGCCCAACGCATTAAATTCAAACTACTAACACTGACATACAAAGCCATTCACAACACTGCCCCAAACTACCTCACCGACCTGATACCCAAATACCACCCAACCCATAATCTTCGCTCCTCACAAGACCTCCTACTTTCTAGCTCCCTGGTCTCCACCTCCCATGCCCGACTGCAGGACTTCTCCAGGACTTCCCCCATCCTCTGGAACTCACTGCCCCAATCCATGAGACTGTCACCTACCCTCCTCACCTTTAGGCGCACCCTGAAAACCCATCTCTTCAGGGAAGCCTATCCCACCCTCACCTAACTGCCGATCTCCTCCACTCCTCCTACCACTCCATCCCCCACAGCCACTTCCTCCTGTACCACTTTCCCCTCCCTCCTAGATTGTAAGCTCGAAAGAGCAGGGCCTTCGAACCCCTCGTGTATTGTTTTGTTACTGTACTGTCTCATGTTCTGTCCCCCACTATAATGTACAGCGCTGAGCAAACCTTTCTGGCGCTATATAAATACTGTATAATAATAATACTATCAGCATGCCTCACTTTGGTAACCAAGCTGTACTGAGAACATGGACCTATGTTTCTCAATGAACTCCAAGGAAAGTATTTTAAGGTGAGTACAAAAATCCTGTTTTCTTATTTGTCCAAGGAGGAACAAAGGAAGTTCTTAGGGACAACCAAAAACAGACTAAATGAGAGGTGGGCAACACAGCAAACAAAGCTAATAGGTCAAGAAAAACAACAGAGGACTGCCTGTAGCTTAAAGAGGTGCCTGAAATACCTTACACCCGAAGGTGGCATCAAATGAGGCTGAAATGTTCACCTTTTAAAGCTTAGATAAAATATGAACAGAAGATCAGGTGGCAGCCTTGCAAATTTGGGAAACAGTTGCTTGTTGCCGAAATGCCCAAGAAGCACTCACAGCTTCGGCCATAGGACTCCAGGATGCAGATATTGGCACCACCAGTAGGTAAGCTGTAAGAAGTCCCAGAGCCACGAATAAAGTGTGAGCTGGGGACACTTGGTACAGTGGGACTGTCTCCCCAAGTCTAAAAATCAGACTCTGTGCCAATAAGACAGTATTTAGGCTTAGGGTAAGGGGTAAGGCCTCAAATACTCACAAAACCTGAACATCTGGTAGCAAATGATGGCTGGAGGTGACCTAAGTCACTGTAGGCAAGAATCAGGATCAAATTGAAGACTGAAGGTCCACATGGTTCTTTGCAAACAGGAGGGGAGATGTTTGACATTGTACAGCAGGAAATACAGTGCAGAATGTGCATGCATGACACTCCACCCAGCAGATGACATCCCACAATGTTAACCCCTTCTGTAGCAAAACCTGTGAGAGAGGGGGGAATCATGACACCCAGTGAGTCTTCAGAGACAATGCAAGCTCTGAAGCAATGTTAGCAGCTCTGGACCTGGAAAGTGGACTGTAACCAAATTTTTACCAGATTGGAGTCTGGAAAGCACTTCACATGGAAACTAGTGCCTGAAGGTCTTGGGATGGGTGTGGTACTCCAATTTGGAGGGACAACTAGCGGCAAGAAAAGAGTCTTGATTGATGAAGAAATTAATGAATAAAAAAGTTATTCTTTATCAAAACAAGACACCTGAAGTATAACTAAAGAGAAAGCTTTTTTTAGTTTTGAATATAGTGGAGAGGCATTAGAACGCCCGTCAGGTTTTTATTGCTGTCTGTGCCCCTGTTAGGGAGAATCTCTTTCCCTATTCATCATTTTTATCATCTTCATCGAAAGGGAAAGTAAAAGAAAATCCCAAATTTTGGGTTGTTCCCAGAACTGTAACTAAGGGGAAATCTACCAATGGGGACACTAGTTCTGGTCACATTGAGGAATTTCCTCTCACTTCCTGTTTTGGCTATGAAACCGAAAGTGAAGGGAAATCACCCAATGAGACACAAATGGCAAAAAACGGAAAGGAGTTGTAACCCTCCCTTACGCTATCCAAAAGGAAAAAATTATTTTGCCTTTAGTTTTAGAGTTCTAAGTCAAGACTTTCTGTTCCCTCAATGGACAAGGAAAAAAAAAAAAGCTTTTATTTCATTTGTAAATTATTGTGCCAGACTTTCTATCTGAAACATAATTTTAGTACTCGGTCACATGTGTGGCAGCCCTTGCTGCCCCTCTGAAAAATGATCTGCGGTGGAACGCTTTGTAGAAGTGTTTAAGCCTGCAAGTATTTCACCACTGCACCAAATTTGGGTGCATTACATGCAGTTGCAGCATTGCTTAATAGACTTGTTTGGCAGTAATTGCCTCCAAATGGAATATGCTGTTTAATTTTTGCAGCATCATGTGTACAGCCCTAGGTGGTTGCATGGCAGTGTTCAGTTGGGCAGTCAGGGGATAGCAAAACCACAGCCCAACTACCTGGTTTTACCACCCCCTTGGCTGGACGTGCGAACGGAGTGTGATAAACTAAACAAATTGAAAATAGGATTAGTACTTTGAATATATAGTATCAGTATACTTGTTTTAAAAATGATCACTGGCCATACTAAAAAAAGATTTTTATTTTTTTCCCCTTAACAATGTATATATATAAGTATTAAGTCATTCAATACAACCGAAGAAAACCTTGTTTGCCCCCCCTCCCCAAATAAAGGACAATAAGATAAGTAATGATAAAGTTGTTGCCAAATTAATAGGTTCACAGATTGTTGTTCTTGTTTCTTGCAGGGTTAAATGAAGCAATAATGCTGGATAAGAGTCTCCCCTCAGCAGGTAATCTACTACAGAACCACACATTTCTTTTAAATAAGGAGAACATATATGAAATAGAATCAAAAACAGATGAACAATAGGTCAAAGTGTGTACAAGGACAAAATAAAGAAAAACATGTATAGTACATCTCTGCAGTACATGCACATTTACACAGGTTTTTCAGTTTTATTTTCTTCCACAGTGTTGTTGAGGAAATCCTTCCCACAATGGCATGGTGTTCAGCTGGTGGGAAGCCTTCCCCACTGGCTGAACGCAATGATCACTGCTGGCAGCTATAGCGGATAAAAATGTGACAGGCAGGTTGGCCATCTATGGCCAGCTTTAACCTCTTCACTACATAAAATGCATCCTGTAGGTCTAGGCTTTTGAAATGATGAAGGCTCAGGGCTATTAAATAAAAGTGATCTGGGCCAACCGATCACTTTTACAGGACACACAGGGTGATGTCTCCCTTGTTAGCTTCCTCGTAATATCAATAAAGTTAAGTGAAAGTATTAAAAACATTGAAATATGATACAATAAACAAAAGAAAAAAATGGAAAGCCCCTGTTGAGAAAAGTGAATAAAGCTCAAAATCCTTCTAATAGCTTTTATTTCCATACACACAAATGCATTGGGAACACTACACATTCTATTCCAAATCAAAACATGAAGAAAAATATATCAAATTTGTGTTGTTCCCCTAAAAAAATTGAAGAAAAGTGAATATTAGACTGTTCAAAAAATAGCAGTGTTTGTATTCTTCTTTACAAACTCAAACATTCACTATATAAACTGAAAACTGTTTGAAGATTTTGCTTTCCTTTGAATCACTAAATGAATATTTGGTTGTATAAGCACTGTTTCTGAGAACTGCTGTACATCTGTGTTGCATGGAGTCAACCAACTTCTGGCACCTGTGAACAGGTATTCCAGCCCAGGATGATTGGACTACATTCCACAGTTCTTCTCTATTTCTTGGTTTTGCCTCGGAAACTGCATTTTTGATGTCACCCCAACAAGTTTTCTATTGGATTAAGATCCGGGGATTGGGCTGGCCACTCCATAACGTCAATCTTGTTGGTCTGGAACCAAGATGTTGCACGTTTTCTGGTGTGTTTGGGGTCGTTGTCTTGTTGGAACACCCATTTCAAGGGCATTTCCTCTTCAGCATAAGGCAGCATGACCTCTTCAAGTATTCTGATGTATTCAAACTGATCCATGATCCCTGGTATGCGATAAATAGGCCCAACACCGTAGTATGAGAAACATCCCCATATCATGATGATTGCGCAACCATGCTTCACTGTCTTCACAGTGTACTGTGGCTTGAATTCAGTGTTTGGGGGTCGTCTGACAAACTGTCTCCGCCCACTAGACCCAAAAAGAACAATCTTACTTTCATCAGTCCACAAAATGTTGCTCCATTTCTCTTTAGGCCAGTCAATGTGCTCTTTGGCAAATTGTAACCTCTTCAGCACACGTCTTTTTTTCAACAGTGGGACTTTGCGGGGGCTTCTTGCAGATAGCTTGGCTTCACATAGGCGTCTTCTAATTGTAACAGTACTCACAGGTAACTTTACACCTTCTTTGATCTTCCTGGAGCTGATTGTTGGCTGAGTCCTTGCCATTTTGGCTATTCTTCTATCCATTCAAATGGTAGTTTTTCGCTTTCTTCCACGTCTTTCAGGTTTTGGTTGCCATTTTAAAGTATTTGCGATCATTTTAGTTGAGCAACCTATCATTTTCTGCACTTCTTTATATGTTTTCCCCTCTCCAATCAACTTTTTAATCAAGGTACGCTGTTCTTCTGGACAATGTCTGGAAAGACCCATTTTCCTCAGAATTTCAGAGAGAAATGCACTGTAACCAGCATGTACAACATTTGCTGCCTTCCTTCCTTAAGGGCAATAATTGCCACCTGTTTTTCAAAGAATGAATGACCTCACTAATAGAACTCCACTCTGCTATTATTTTGAACATGCCCCTTTCAATTAGTGATTCAATTACACAGAATCAGCAGCATGCATGTCATGACTGTTGGGTCTGTTGGATTTCTATTACTCTACTACACCTGCTAGTAAATTATTTGCCATGTAGAAATATCATTTCTTCCAAAAACAGTGATTGATCAGGTTAGTGATGTCTGACTGCTATTATTTTGAAAACAACTGTATGAGTAAAGTGCTGCGTAAATTGACAGCGCTATATAAGTACCTGAAATAAATAAATAAGGTTATGTTTCAGTGAATCCCATTGGATAATGGCGGTTCAGGTTTTTCAGACGCATTAATAAACGAATTACAGCAGCTTTCACACTTGGGAATGGGGCCAGTACTGATGCAGCTAATTGCAGGTGCTCGCTCCATGAGCGGCTGCGATTAAATGCGGGAGTTATCAGCCACCCATCATTTTTTAATGGGGCTGACACCCGCAGCTAATCACCAACAACCCCTGCTGGGTCTCCAACATGTAATCCATAACAGCCCCATACGCAAGTGTGAATGGGGTCTTACTCCAAAGTGTGGCTTGTCTTTTCCTCATGATTTATGTCTCAAGCGGAATTGTTAGATGTATAGAAAATGCTTTCTGTTGCATTGCAGGAGTGATTCAGTGACATTCTTTGTCAGGATGCGATGTTAGTTAAAAGCAGGAGGGCAGAGAGGTAGGTGGATCACATGCCCTCATCTCCAGGACCTTTATGATGCTTTGTGCATGTCAGCACACAGAGCAGTAAGACGCAGATCTGTAGTGCTTAGGTAGGGAGTGCGCAGGCTGCAGTGGCACCATACAGACATTGCTAGCGTTAGTAGCCACCACGGTAAAGGGATTGCAGGTAGACAATATTTGCAAAGTTTCAGTGATGATTTGGTACACACATTATTAAACCACACGCAATGTAGTATGTGTGACCATATATTTTTATATTTAACCAATGGGTTTAATGACACTTTTTCAGATAATCTGTTGTGTGAATATAGTAAAGGGATGCTTCATATACATGATATCTTTTTTCAGGTCCTGTAGCTACTTCTGGACATGAGAAAAAGTCAAAACACAAGAAAGATAAATCCGACCTTGAAAAACACACAGCAGCTGATTACTCAAAGCCATTGTCACAGAATAGCCCAGCACCAAAGAGAGCATTCCAAAAGTAAGTAATATAGTTGTCAGTCCTCAGAACACATACAGTATATGCATCTTATTACATAGTGCCGTGCTTTCCAGCTGATTAATGCGGAGTTCCACTCAAAAGCAGAAGCTCCAATTATTTGCCCCCCTCCTCTGCCATATTTGGCACCTTTTGGAGGGGAGCAGCTACCTGTCTGTTTTGACAGGTACCCGCTCCCACTTCCGGTTCAGTTCGCCACAGCGAAGTGAACCAGACGTTCGGCCCCCTCCTTGCTCCCACAGTCTCCTGGGAACTTTCACAGGTCCCAGAAGACTGTCTGACCAATTAGAAGGTGCAGCTCAAATCGTGCATGCACAGTGGGCACCAAGCTGTGAAGCCACAAGCTGTCACTGCCTGGTGCTCCTCCGGCACCGTGGAGGAGAGGAGGCGAGAAGGGACAGCGCGGGTGAGAACATTGCTGGACCCTGGGACAGGTAAGTGTGTGTTTATTAAAAGACAGCAGCTACAGTTTTTGTAGCTGGTGACTTTTAACCACTTCAATACCGGGCACTTTTACCCCCTTTCCTGCCCAGGCCAATTTTCAGCTTTCAGCGCTCTCGCATTTTGAATGACAATTGCAACACTGTACCCATATGAAATTTTTATCATAAATCACCACTAAGTTTATTTTTTTTGCTAAATAAAACAAAACACACCTGAAACTTTTGAAAAAAAAAAAAAACAACGCACTTTTCTTCGTCTCTGTTATAAAATTTTGCAAATAAATACCATTTCTTCATAAATTTAGGTCAACATGTATTCTGCTACATTTCTTTGGTGAAAATAATAAAAATTGAATTTGTATTTTTTTCAAATGTTTCTATTATATTTTTTTATTACATTTTTTCTTTTTTTTTTACTATTTTATTTTTGCAGCACACTGTGGCCAAAGCAATACAATGTTACCATAGTAACATTGAACTACTCTGGGCAAGTGATCAAGAATTTTTTTTTTTTCAAGACATTATGATTGCTAATGCCAATGTATTTCATTGATATTTGCAATCATTGTTACTGAATTAACCTGATTCATTCAGTCTTTTGTTGTGTTAGCTGTGATTGGGCAAAGCTGATCACATGACACTGACAATGGGCCGGTGTAGTGATATGTGATCGGCTGAGTCCTGTGAACACAGCTGGTGACAGATCACGCAGCTGTGCGGCCCTGCGGCCACGTGAGCAGCTCGTTTTGACAGGACGTCATATGACGCCCAGTCACAATGAGGATTGTCCCGCCCGCCGTCAATCGGGCTATAGGTCGGGTGGGAAGGTGTTAATAAACAAAAAAAAAACGTCTGGAACTCCACTTTAAGCATGTTGGATGGCTGATTCTACAAGTAGCTTTTTTAAGATGCACATGATTATGTGTCACGTTAAAGTGGCATTAATATTAATGCCATCAATTAGTATAATGCCAGAGTGAATAGTATAATTGCAAGAAATTACAGTTCTACCATCTTAAAGCAGAACTACACTTTATCAGAGCATCAGAAACCAGAAACACTATTTAATTTAATTTTTAACCCCTTAACGTCGCATCTCCCGACCCTTTAAAAGGTTTCTTATTCCAGAAGGCGGGGGTGGGGTTTATGATCATGCGACCACCATGATTGGTTGTCAAAGAGGTCACTGTGCCGTTAAGCGCCGGTAACTGTGCCAGGTGCGCAAACAGGTTGATTTACATTTGGTTACACAAATATGCAACCTCTCTGTGTCAAGACCCACCCACCAAGAGGCCACATATTTGCGGACTCTCGGCGCAAAGAGGTTAGTATTCAAAGCAAACTCCCCCATCAATCCATATCTCCATGCTTTATTTTGTTGAGAAATCACTTTGAAAAACACCCCCCTTAGCATTTCTAGTCATCTTGAGGAAGGGCAGATGATTCATGTAACATTTACTTCCTGGAATCCATCTACCCTTAACTCAGGCATGCAGGCAAGAGGGTGTGCTTAGCTGGGAAAGCCCCTCCTCCCCTCCAGAAGACTCCTGGGATGTATGACATAATTTGCCTAGGCCTGAAAAATAGTGGCTAAAGAAATGTAAAAAAAAGTGTAAAACAAGCAAATATGATATACTTTCCTATCTATTTACTAATGAAAGAAGCATAAGGATTAAAAATGTTGAATGTTGATTGAGAGTGAAGTTCTGCTTTAAAAAAGGAACTCCAGTGTTGGTATAAAACAAAATGCCTGTAGTTGCTCTCTGGATACATGACATAGTATTGCAAAAAACATTTCTCAGACAGACTGCCGGTTAGAGGGGTCTGCTAGCCATCATACAGTCTCAGTGTCATGCAAGAGACCTACACCGAGAAGAACTTGAAACTTGACATCCCTCCAGATGTGCATAATCCCTAGCCTATATACCCCCCAAGATGACTGCTTACTGCAGTGAACAAGGACAGTGCTGGAGATACTAGGAGTTGTAGTTCTGGGCAGACTTCTGGTAAAAGAGATCACCATCCATAACATGGGCAGGTTTCTTGGGGCGATCTGTACACCGTGTGTAAAAAAATGTTCAATTCTTGCTATATAGACAGAATGTTATGAATTTTGCAATGTTTCATTGTTCTTACAGATATAATTTATGAAGTGGCATAGGCACTACCATGAATTAAATAAGTATTTGATCCCCTGCTGATTTTGAATGTTTGCCCACTCACAAAAAAATTCAAAAGAAATGCGTGTCTAACAAATTATGCACTGATTTGCATGTTCATGAGGGAAAGAAGTATTTGATCCCTTTTCACAAAACATGACTTAGTACTTGGTGGTAAATCCCTTGTTGGCAATCACAGAGGTCAGACGTTTCCTGTAGTTGGCCACCAGGTTTGCACACATTTCAGGAGGGATTTTGGCCCACTTCTCTAGGCAGATCCTCTCCAAGTCATTAGGATTGGTTTTTGGTGGCTGATGTTTGGCAACTCGAACTTTCAGCTCCCTCCACAGATTTTCAATCAGATTAAGGTCTGGAGACTGGCTAGGCCACTCCAGGACCTTAATGTGCTTCTTCTTAAGTCACTCCTTTGTTGCCTTGGCCGTGTGTTTTGGGTCATTGTCATGCTGGAACACCCATCCACGACCCATTTTCAATTCCCTGGCTGAGGGGAAGAATGTTCTCACCCAAGATTTGACAGTACATTGCCCCGTCCAGACATCATTGCCCCTTTGATGCGGTGCAGTTGTCCTGTCCCCTTAGCAGAAAAACACCCCCAAAAGCAGAATGTTTCCACCACCATCTTTCACAGTTGGGATGGTGCTCTTGGGGTCATAGACAACATTCCTCCTCCTCCAAACACGGCGAGTTGAAGCCAAAGATCTCGATTTTGGTCTCATCTGACCACAACATTTCAACCAGTCCTCCTCTGCATCATTCAGATGTTCAGTGGCAAACTTCAGTCGGACCTGGACATGTGCTTCTTGAGCAGAGGGACCTTGCAGGCACTGCAGGATTTCAATCCTTTTGGTGTAGTGTGTTCCCAATTGTTTTCTTGGTGACTGTGGTCCCAGCTGCCAGGAGATCATTGACAAGATCCTCATATGTAGTTCTGGGATGATTCCTCACTGTTCTTATGATCATTGATACTCCACAAGGCGAGATCTTGCATGGTGCACCAGACCTAGGGAGACTGACAGTTGTTTTGTGTTTCTTCCATTTGTGAATGATTGCACCAACTGTTGTCACCTTCTCACCAAGCTGCTTGGCGAAAGTTTTGTAGCCCAGTCCAGCCTTGTGTAGGACTACAATCTTGTTCCTGACATCCTTGGACAGCTCTTTGGTCTTTGCCATGATGGAGAGTTTGGAATCTGATTGTTTGATTGCTCCTGTGGACATTGTCTTTTATACAGGTAACAAAATGAGATTAGCAGCGCTCCCTTTAGGAGACTTCTTCTAATCTCAGCTTGTTACCTGGAAAGACACCTGGTAGCCAGAAATCCTGCTGAATGATAGGGGATCAAATACTTATTTCCCTCATGAACATGCAAATCAGTGCATAATGTGTTAGACATGCATTTCTCTTGAATTTTTTGTTGCTATTCTGTCTCTCAGTGTTACAATACACCTACCATTCGATTTTTAGACTGATCATTTCTTTGTGAGTGGGCAAACATTCAAAATCAGCAGGGGATCAAATACTTGTTTCCTTCACTGTAAATACAAAAGATGTATAGAATGGGGAGGACTCAATAAATTATGTTTTACAGGATAGGTTCATCGTTGTTAACCACAAGCCTACAGGGCACTTATGCCCCCTTCCTGCCCAGGCCAATTTCCAGCTTTCAGCGCTGTCACACTTTGAGTGACAATTGCACGGTCATGCAACATTGTACCCATATGCAATTTTTAGCATTTTTTGTGACAGATAGAGCTTTATTTTGGTGGTATTTAATCACCTCTGGGTTTTTTTTTTTTTTTTAAACAAACCAAAAAACCACTGAAAATTTAGAAAAAAAAACGTTTTTCCTAGTTTTTGTTATAAAATTTTGTAAATAAGTGATTTTTCTCCTTCACTGATGTGCGCTAATGAGGCTGCAGTGATGGGCACTGATAGGCCACACTGATGGACACTGATAGGTGGCACTGATGAGGAGGCACTGGTAGGTGGCACTGATGGGCATTGACAGGCATCACTGATGGGCACTGATACATGGCACTGATACATGGCACTGATAGGCGGCACTGACCGGCGGCACTGATAGGCGGCACTGACAAGTGGCACTGATAGGTGGCACTGATTGGCACTGATGGGTGACACTGAAAGGCAGCTCAGATGGGCACTGATATGTGGCATTGATGTGCACTGGTAGGCACTGATATGTGGCATTGATGTGGCACTGATGGGCACTGGCACGAGGCACTGATGAGACACTGACACAAGGCACTGATGGACACTGACACAAGGCACTGATGGACACTGACTGTGGCACTGCTAGGGCTACACTGATCATCAGGGCACACTGATCATCAGTGCCCTAATGATCAGTGAACATGTCCCCTCCGCGGAAACACGATTACCGGCTCTCCTCCTCTCAAGCTGTCAGCGTGACAGCTCGCGAGGAGAGAAATGCCGATAACCGGCATTTCCCTGTTTACATGTGATCGGCTGTGATTGGACACAGCTGATCACATGACCGAGCCGACATCTTCGGCTCTTTCCGTGATCGGTGATCCACTGTGTCCAAGGGACACAGCACACCGCCGATCGCCACGCTTCGCGCTCCCTGAGCCGCGCGTGCGTGGTGAGATTGGGAGGACGTCATATGACGTCCTCCCAGAATCAGAGAACCACCTTGCGTCCGTCATATTACTATATTGGGGGGCGGGCGGTGGTTAAAAAAAATAATACATGCACATGTTTTTGCAGGACAAAAATGTGCTTTTATTATTTTTTTTACACAGAAGCCTGCAGAGCATTGCACCCGTGATCAATGGATCACAGATGCAATGTCAGGCTCCTGCAGACACTTCTTACAGCTCTCTGCCTGTACTTCCATACAGGCTCTCAGTTACTGAGCTACAGAAAGTATCAATGGGCTACAAGTGCACATATCATTGCAATTGTTGTCTATTGAGTACTACAAGTACATCTGCAGAAGTGGAAGATGGGATTTGTAGTTTATTCATTCACAGATTCATGTTCATTGAACTGCAATTTAAATTGCAGTTCAATGTTTCTAAATGTAAAATAATGCAGCTAGGGAAAAATAATCCCTTGAGAGAGTACAACATTGGGGGTACATTGTTGGCCAACACTTCAGAGGAAAAGGACTTAGGGGTACTTATTTCAGAACATTGCAAAATGAGCAAACAGTGTGGCCATGCAGTGGGGAGAGTGAATAGAATTCTTGGATGCATCATTAGAGGGGTCACCAGCAGGAGGAAGGAGGTCCTGATTTTTAGACCTCATTTAGAATGCTGTGTCCAGTTCTGGAGACCTCACTTACAAAAAGATATTGATAAGATAGAACGAGTCCAGAGACAGGGTAACAAAAATGGTGAAAGGTCTGGGGGATAAACATCTCAAGAGCGACTTCAGGAACTTAACATGTACAGTCTGGAGGAAAGAAGGGAAAGGGGAGACATGACTGAAACCTTTGAAATACATCAAGGGGGTGAATAAGGTTCAGGAGGACAGTTTTTTAAAACATGAAACCAAAATCAAGAGTATGGGGACATGACCTTAAACTAAGTGGAGGAAAGTTCAAAACTAATCTCATAAAGTGCTATTTTACTGAGAAGTAGTTGATGCTTGGAATAAACTTCCAGCAGAGGTAGTGAGCCAGTCAACAGTAAATAGCTTCAAACATGCTTGAGGCAATCATAGATCTATACTCAGACAAAAAAGTTAACACAAAAAAATAAACCAAACACCTCCCCAAATAAATAAATAAAAACGGGCAGACTCGATGGATCACTCGGTCTTTTTCTGCCGTCACTTTTCTATGTATCTATGTTGTCAGGGTATTTCTATATAAAATGATAAAACTGATGAATTATGAACTCTAAAAATGACAAGGTCAAATCCTAAATGGAACCTTCAGGGCAAGATTACTGTTTCTAAAAAAATTGCTGAGACAAGAGTTTGTTATCTAAAGAATCCTACAAAGTAATAGATGACAAAAATGATAATGGTAACACCCTGAAAGCTCAGCTTTACACAAACGCCCGTATTTACCAAGTCCAAACATTCAGCTCAAGTCCTGAGATGGTTAAACAGAGCAGGAAAAAAAGACAATGTTGAGAACTCTCACACCACATATCAGCACATACAATTCTTTGCTGGATTACCACACAAGTGTTTGTCAGGCCCCCCCCCCCCCCCCCCCCCCCCCCCCCCCCCGAAAAACAATGGTCCTCTCAGCATGAATAGAAAAGGCTATCTTCTGAAAAACCCAGTGTTTATTCGAACATTGAACCATGTCAATTCAGATGGAATTCCCAATCAGTCATTAATCGGATGAAGTGAGAGTTTCAAAGAATAGACGTATTCAAGATTTGCTTATGGAGATTATAATCATATGTATAATTCTTTTTTCTTGCTATGTTCAAAGGATACAATCACATTAAGTATCAATGACTCATCAATCAAATTGTAATAACATAAACTATGGGAGGAAATTCTGGATGGAAATTTGTAATCATATTTAAAGGAAATGACTGGCCAATAGAATGTTTCCATATATCAGGTTGCAAGCGTCATATCATAAAGACACCCAGGAGATACTATACTGTACTGCAAAGGACATGATATATTCAAACGATAACCTGAAATAGGGTATCTGTACTTGGATATCCTGATAAATTATGAAAGAGTTTTTTTATCATTAAAAGATGACACCATAATAAGGGTTGATAGCCCAAGTGACAGATTCTTACATAATAAAGTTGTAGTTTAATATATAAAACCAACTCACTAGGTCATTTATAAAGAGAGATGTCTGTTATAACAACTTTAATATGGTATATATATATATTTCTTATAGTAACATGAATACAATTTTGATTAGTTTTGATCCTTGTAGGAAAGTCAGATCCACATTCCTGAGACATGACTACCCTCTAGTGGACAGGTACAGCAACAACTAAATACATATTCTAATAATGAATATTTATATTGTCCAATCAGAAGACAGTCAACATTTAGTTTGGGTAGACAATGGGTCCAAACGCTAGAAAATCAGGAGTTGGTTGCTATAAGGAGGGGGCTTGCTACTAAAATGCTTCTCAAACAAGAGACTTGGACTTCTTCACCTTGGTTGCTGAGTCCTGAGAGACTTGTCTGTCGCCATTGCTGTCATCTTGCCTCCAGACTTCGCCTAAGACAAAGACGACATATATATATAGACTCACTGACCACTTTATTCAATTTCACCTGTTCAATTTCTTGGTAACACAAATTGCTAATCAGCCAATCACATGGCAGCAACTCAATGCATTAAGGCATCTAGACATGGTGAAGATGACTTGGTGAAGTTCAAAATGAGCATCAGAATGCGGAAGAAAGGGGATTTAAGTGACTTTGAAAGTGACATGGTTGTTGGTGCCAGACGGGCTGGTCTAAGCATTTCAAAAACTGCTGACCTACTGTGATTTTCACACACAACCATCTCTAGGGTTTAGGGAGAATGGTTCGAAAAAGAGAAAACATCCAGTGAACGGCAGTTGTGTGGATGAAAATGTCTTGTTGATGTCAGAGGTCAGAGCAGAATTGGCAGACTGGTTGGAGATGATAGAAAGGCAACAGTAACTCAAATAACCACTCATCACAACCAAGGTATGCAGAATATACTATCTGAACGCACAACATGTTGAACCTTGAAAGCAGAAGGGGTACAGAAGCAGAAGACCACTCTAGGTGCCACTCCTGTCAGCTAAGAATAGTAAACGGAAGTTACAATTCGCACAGGCTCACCAAAATTGGTCAGTAGAAGATTGGAAAAATGTTACCTGGTCTGATGAGTCTCTAATTTCAGCTGCAACATTCAGATGGTAGGGTCAGAATTTGGTGTAAACAACATGAAAGCATGGATCCATCCTGCCTTTAATGGTATCAACAGTTCATGGATCTTCAGCCGACAAATCTGCTGCAACTGCGTGATGCTGTCATGTCAGTATGGACCAAAATTTCTGAGGAATGTTTGCAACACCTTGTTGAATCTATGCCATGAAGAAGTAAGGCCGTTGTGAAGGGAAAAGGGGGTCCAACCCAATACTAACAAGGTGTGCCTAATAAAGTGGCCAGTGAGTGTGTGTGTGTGTGTGTATATATATATATATACAGTATCTCACAGAAGTGAGTACACCCCTCACATTTTTGTAAATATTTAAAATCTTTTCATGTGACAACACTGAAGAAATGACACTTTGCTACAATGTAAAGTAGTGAGTGTACAGCTTGTATAACATGTAAATTTCCTGTCCCCTCAAAATAACACAACACACAGCTATTAATGTCTAAATCACTGGCAACAAAAGGGAGTACACCCCTAAGTGACAATGTCCAAATTGGGCCCAATTCCCTCCCCAGTGTCAAGTGACTCGTTAGTGTTACAAGGTCTCAGGTGTGCATGGGGAGCAGGTGTGTTCAAATTTGGTGTTATCGTGTGTACTCATTTCTGTGAGATACTGTATATATATATATAAAATTATTCATTATTTATTTATGTTACTTATACAGCGCCGTCAATTTACGCAGAGCTTTACATATACATTGTACATTCACATCAGTCCCTAATGCTCAAGGGGTGTACAATCTAAGGTCCCTAACTTACATTCATACATACATTAGGGACAATTTAGACAGGAGCCAATTAACCTACCAGCATGTTTTTGGAGTGTGGGAGGTAACCGGATTACCTGGAGGAAACCCACGCAGTCACAGAGAGAACATGCAAACTCTAGGCAGGTAGTTCCAGGGTTGGGATTCGAAACCAGCGACCCTAGTACTGCCAGGCGGAAGTGCTAACCATTTAGCCACTGTGCTACCCATTATATATGTGTGTGTGTGTGTGTGTGTGTGTGTGTGTGTGTGTGTATATATATATATATAGATATATATATATATATATATATATATTACTCCTGTTTATCTACCAACTTGCATATATTTTTATAGTTGGTATATTATCACATTAGCTCAAAAGATTTCAGAAGAGTTATATTGTGGTGGGTATCAAGTTATTTCAATTTTCCATACAGCTGGAGGCACTGAATCTCCATTTTATGTATAATTCAGGAACTGTCTCTTGCATTAATAATTTATAATTCACATTAGAATCCATCACATTGTTATTGTCCTGTTACCACAACAATGTGTGCCGTTTTTAAATGTTCCAACAACTGTGTGTGTGGAGAGGGGTGCAGGGGGCTGGTGCATAGTAACATGTTACTCCCTAAATAGGTATAGGTACCTAGAAATATCTGTTCATGTCACACAGACACACTAAATAATGATGCAGTGCTCATGTGCACTCATGTCTCCTGATGGTCTTCTCTAGTAGAATAGGAAAAAAGTACGGCAAGGCGACACATGCCAAGAATGAAATATGACCGTGTGAGTGGGGCATAAAGAGCCAGTTGTTATGTCCTATTATGTATTTTTCTGCTGTTGCATTGTTATTGATGTTGTGATGTGTGCTGATATACTAGTTTTGTGGTGGTGCCGCGCCAATACAATTGGTTATTGTGTGCATTTAGTACCTTCACTTTCATTTCCCCTCTTGTTTTATGCTCTTAATGCACTCCTAACTAGACCCTTCCTGCTTCTTTCATGTTTCATCAGTTCTGTTTATCATAGAGACAGGGCCTAGAAAGTCATTGTCTTCTTACCCTTCTAAAAACTGGATAAATATTACTTGTGCTGTACTTACCTGAAGCAACATTGCATTGGATTTCACTTCTACGCCTTATTGGATAGTTAAGTTGACTGTGGCTTCTGCCAAGTCAACGAGTGCTAAAACTATCCACAATGACTGGGTCTAAGGAGGTATGTCATTGCATATATTGGCATTTGAAACAGAACTCCAGTTGGCTAAAAGTATGTTGCTTATATGCTACACTCACAATGAAGTCTGTTGAAGTGCAAAAACACACAAAAAATTAGAATGCTTAAAGTATTTGTCTTTTTTTTTCCTTTCTGTCTTCTTGTTTAGACCACCATCAGCTGGACCCTTGGAGACCAAAACTATTATAAAAATATATAAATGTGATTATGGTCGCTGCAGAAGGGCATTCAGTAATCTTTCGAAGTTTAAAATCCACAAAAGCAAACATACAGGTTAGTACATATTACTGAGGAAGAATCAATTTATGAAAATGAATAATGACTTCAAGACCAACTCTGGTACTCAAAGCCAGAAATTCCACTACTGCTGTACCTGGAAATCCTCTCACTTGGTGTGCACACAGGCATTTTAACCCGAGAGATTACTTGCTACCTTTCGTTCTGGCCGCCTTGCAGTTCAAATTTGACTAAAAATCAGCCTTTTCTTAGGGCGGACACACACTGATTGAAATTTGGCTGGTTTAGCAGGGACAGGACAAATTTTAATCCATGTATGGGCAGACTGATTGTACAGAAGTTGACCTACCAATCAAATTCTGTACAACCAGCCTGTCGGATTTTTCTGGAACAATCAGTGCCACTGGTTATAGCACTAATCAGTGTATCCTGGTGGTGGGAAGGCTCAGCAGGAGTGATTTCCCCATCCACTGGGAATTGGGTCATTTTTTTTTTTTTTTTTTTCATTTAACCCACTGGTTGAATTAAAAAAAATGTTGAATGTATGGCCAGCTTTACTCTTAAGGGATATAATTCAACCTTGTTCATTCTATTTCAGAAACCTCTGACTTCACTTTAACTTGTTAAAAGGTTTATTCAAGGTGTCTCACTGATCAGACCCAGATTACAGCATCCCGTGTTTCCTTAGGATCTTAATTTGTTTATCTCTACTCTTCAAAAACCATCCTTTGAACTCATTAGGGAATTGCCTATAGGGTATGGCAGGCCATAGAGGGTCATTTATCGGCCGAATTTTCAACTGATAAACGAAAAAATCGGTCGGCCCCATTGCCGATGCTGCCACCCATGTCCACAAAAAACTGCAGTTTTTCGCAGATTTTCCAGCATGACCGATAACAATAAATGAGGAGATCCGTGAAAAATGGCCGACCGGCTGGCCCCACTAACGGCGTGATTATCGGCCGATTTTTCGTGCGGACGAAAAAAATTCGGCCGATAAACGACCCATCTATGGCCTGCATATCTCTCCTGCAAATTGGCCTTCTTGGTGGCTCTCATGTCTGAGACTTTCAAAGTGATTAGCTCTTTTGTAATTAACCATTCCTGCTGCTTCACAAGGATAAAGTAGTCTTACATTCAAGACCCTCCTTTCGGCCTAAGGTGGTATCTGCCTTCCACCCTATTGACAACCCTGTCCTTCCTACCTTGTGCTCTGCTCCTAAGCATCCCAGAATAAATTGCTCTCCATTGTCTGCACATGGTCAGAGCTTTCAAAGTCTATCTGAAAACCACAGCCTCTATTCAAAAATGGACTCTTATTTTGTCTTGCCAAAATGGGAACATGGGGCACCCTGCGTCCAAGCCCTCTATTGCTAAGTGGCTAGCAAAATGCTCAATTTCATATGCATTCTGGCACTGTGAGAAGGCCCTAAAATGTAATTTATAAGTAGGGTTGCAACCTCATCCCTTTAAAACCAAACGCATAATAAATACACAGGTTCTGTGGCTGATTAATGTAATTAAAATCACTTAGTGCCTTATCTGCATTAAATTAGTCTCAGAACCTGTGTAATTAACATGTGTCTGGTTTTAAAGGGATTAGGTGGCAACCCTATTTGTAAGGCATTAGGGAGTTAAACGATCTGTAGGTTGTAAATCACTCTGCTAGCACATATCCCCCCATTCCCTTATACAGGACTCTGCAAAGTTAGATTATTGTACCCACCCATAGGACACTAGTAGCGGTCATGGATCTGGAGAACTGGAATAGGGCCTGGTTGTTTATAGCTAAATGTTCATTTAATACAACCACGCTGGAGGCGGCATACAAAGTATTGTTTCGTTGGTATTGGGTCCCAGCTACTTTGGTGAACCCTGCCTCGGTGTTGTGGTCATCGTGATGATGTGTTGCAAATGTGGTCATGCCCGAAACTGATTCATTTTTGGTCTCATGTATTTGGCCTCCTTTTCACTTTGTTCCAACTCTCCGTACGCCAGGATGCTCGGTAAACTTTGCTTCATTGTCCCATACCGGGCCTGTTGGCTCATCAGCAGAAGTTGGCTTCCTATTTGTTCTTGTCGGCAACTAGAACAATTGCTCAGGCATGGAAGAGCCTGTCTCTCCCTCTTCAGGGGTGCAGGACCATATGACCACTCTGATGCTCCATGAACAGATATTAAGTATCTGTAACGACTCCCGTTGGAAGTTTTTGAAAATATGGGAGCCCGTGGTTGACATATGCTTTTTCCACGCTCCCCCCAGCTAGTCTGGGTTTGTGATGTTGTTTGGTGTTGACGTTCCTGGACCCCTGCTCCTGGTCTTGTCTTCTTCCTTTTCTACTCCTTTTTCCTTTCTATTTTTGCCTGCCTTTTGTGAGGCGGTGGATAGCTGCATTTGGTTTGAGCTACTGTCATTGTATATCACTATTTTTGTAATTTATGTGCCATTGATAGCCCCTGCATGGGTGCGTCTTGTTGCTCAAGTCTTGTTAAAATGTTACAAATTTAAAAAAAACATTGAAATACAAAAAAAAAGGGGCAGAGAGGAGAGGAAGTCCTCTTCTCCCTGCTCCCAGTTAGATAGATAAGGCTGGCCAAACATTTATACACTTTTCCTTTTAGGTTTACCAAAACGACATAATATGAAGTCAAACCTAAACACTTTCATTTTGTGTACAATTATTTATTTATTTCAGGTACTTATATAGCGCTGTCAATTTACACTGTGCTTTACATATGTATTGTACATTCACATCAGTCCCTAACCCTCAAGGGGTGTACAATCTAAGGTCCCTAACTCACATTCATACATACACATACTAGGGACAATTTAGACAGGAGCCAATGAACCTACCAGCATGTCTTTGCAGTGTAGGAGAAACTGGAGTACCCAGAGGAAACTCATGCAGGCACAGGGAGAACATGCAAACTCCAGGCAGGTGGAGCCGTGGCTGGGATTTGAACCAGTGACCCTAGTACTGCCAGGCAGAAGTGCTAACCATTTAGCCACTGTGCCAGCCTTCAGGCAGTCCCTTGAACTACATAGTAAAGGTAAATCTAAAGGACATTGAATAAGAAAATTGTATAATGTGTGGGCCAGCTTAAGTATAAGCTGCTGGGGGGTGAGCTTTATAGTGAACCTATTGGTTTAGGTAGGTGTACTTTATTGCCTTTTCTAGTCTGGTGTGCCTCAATGCCAGTTGACATTCATCTTTTCAGTACATCACTGTAAGTGGCATCCATCTCTTTCACAATCTGACCTCTTTTTAGTGGCCATATACAAACCGTATGGGACGTAAAGGACAAATAACAGCTGTACATCACTATGTAAGTAAAGAAGAAATGCTAGAAGTGCTATTGACTGATTTTGCTTTTATGTTTATTCCACCAGGTAAAGGCAAGGCTTCCATATGACAAGATCTTACTAGCATTGTGTACAGTTGTGGGGCAAATTCATAGACTTCCTTGTTTGCTACTCTACAGCACTAGAAGCACTTATTGGAAAATTCTACAAGCCCCAAGAAGAGATGTTCCTTCAGTCACATCCGATCAGAAGGTCCAGTCTTCTCTTATACATTTTAAGTGGTGCTCCGGCTTATATTCCATGGAAAGAAAGTCTCATCCTCAGATTTGGAGAGTATGCAAACTGATATGTCGTTTCTGTACACGTGCAGGAAACAAGGACATTTAGTGGATAAACTTGACAAATGCTTCTTTCATCCGGAAAGAATGGATTTCATGCCTATTTTTCTATATACTGACTGTTGCTGTTTATTTTCAGGAGGGGAGGAGTTGGTCGGGTATATATGGTAGGCTAACCTAAAAGGAACTTTTATTCCACTTGATCCTGACTAAAATCTTGTCCACTGATAATTTCCTATTTTCACTGCTTTTGCTGCAGTCTTATCAGTTACAATGTTCCCAGCTATCTCTGATACTTACTAAACCCCTCCCCTCTATGCAGTGGAGGTTTCTGTAGTTCTGTCTAGGATGACAATGCTGCTGCTCTCTTTACATACAGTATAATAAATAAACTGTCACTCTAGGGCAGGAAATGTGTTACTGGTGGGATCATCAGGTGAAGTTAAAAAAAAAAAAAACCTAACGCAGCCACAACATTTAGGCTTGTTTCACACAGGTTTCAGCAGTGTGAACAGCAAGCTTTGACAAAGCATTTGCAGAGCTTTCAGAAAGCATTGTTGAAGCATTTAAAGCACCCTTCAGCTTCAGTTGTAAATGTTGAACACAGATCCTAATGAGAATGTTGCCACTTTAAACAAGCTGCTAGCAGGCTTTCAACAAGCTTCAAGAAGCGCTGAAAACTGCTAGCAGCTTGTTTAAAGTGGCAATCATCACTCCCATTAGGATCTGTATAAAACATTTAGAAGCTAAAGCTGAATGATACTTTATAAGCTTCCAGAAAGCTCTGCAAATTATTTGTCAAACTTTGCTATTCACACTGCTCTTATACAAGCTGAAGTCCATGTGAAACAGGCCTTATGGAATGGTAAGCTGCAATCCATTCTTGGTTTTAAGTTTAAATACTCTTTAAATGGAATCCATCAGGAGAAAGGTATTGGAGCTGTTTTTGCTAAATTGTTTTGTATAGTGTAGTAAGAAGTGTAAGCTTCAGGTATGTCCTTCTCATCTTTGGTTCAGTTCCTTGTAAACCACTAGAATAAGTAGACAGCCAGTGAACTATTTACTTGCAGACTTGTTTTGGGTCTGTGACTTCACTGACATGTAGTGAAGGAATGGTGAGGACCAGAATTTGCACCTGATCTGAATATTTTCTTAGTCCCAGAACAAGCATGCTGCAAGTGAATAGGAAACTTTAGTCTGCATACTTGCCTTAGAAAGCACTGAAACCTTTGGATTAGCATGACAGCTAAAAACTAAAGTTCAGCAATGGAAACCTCTATATTGTCTCAGGTTTTCATTGTAAATAATGCTATACACCTGGGTTAGGATTGTTAAAATTTGTTTTATAGTTTTTTTTTTATTATATTTTTAACATTTTAAAGAAGTTACAGTATCTAAATTGCATTTCACAATTATTGGTTGCAGAAAACTGGTAATGACAATAACATTCATAGCAACACTGTAAAGACATCTATAAATGAACATAAAAAAAGACAATAAACTTTCATGGTTAGCCAAAGAAGTCTGGTCAATAATTCTTATTTATAGAGGTAATGAACATGGGAGATCATGGGAGTCACCACCTCCTGGGTCACGGCTACCCAACAGGGTAAAAATATTGAATAAAATATAAGAAAATGGTTGGCAGGAAAGATGGAAGGAGGGTCAAGAAAGGGTAAAAGGGGAGGGTTGAAGTGAGACCAACTGAAAGAGCAAAAAAGATCCGCTCCAGGTGAGTGCCGAATTTGCATAACCCCCTCCACAGACATGCGGGTCCTGGCCCGATCTGTGATAACAGATGCAATGGAAAAACAGAAAGGTTGGCCGCACAAACAGCAATGGAGCTGTTATGTTCTTATCATATTGCATGTAAAGGATTCCAATAAAGGATTTCATCCACCACATTGCTGTTTGTGCGGCCAACTATTCTGTTTTTTTTCCATTGCATCTGAGATTTGAAGTGGTGGTGAATGGACCAGGGGAGGGGCAGCAAAGTAGGTAAGCAGTAAGCTGGGTCTTTTCCTCCCCCCTCAGAGGGCATCTTCCAAGTGATAACAGCTCAACTTCAGAACTTCTTGAACTTTGTTAAAAGCCTGCTAGTAGCTTTCCTAAAGTGGCAGTCAACACTCCTATTAGGTTCAACAGTTACAAACTGAAATTGAATAGTACTTTAAAAACTTCAACAAAGTTTGCTAAAAGCTCTACAAATGCTTTGTCAAAGCTTGCAGTTCACACTGCACTTATACCAGCTGCAGCCAGAGTGAAATAGGCCTTGCGTTTCAGGAATTGGCTTCTAATTACTATGTTATGTTCACCTGTGTAACTGAAGTTTTGATAAAAATACATATACTTTTGAGGCAGATATAGAGTAGCCGTACACATAGATTTCTCCATCCATGGTAAACAGCAGGAATGGAGGAATCTCCTCTTCTGGCTATTGTATTCAGACAGACGGCAGATGTCTTCTGGAAAGTCATTCTAGATTAGCTAGGGCTATTAAATCCACTAAGGAGTTATTTGATTTCATATTAATGCATATAGTATGTATATAGTAGCAGAGCAGAAAATCACTGAAAGTTTAAGAGGACCTGCTGCAGAAGAAATTCACAACCTAAAGCTGAGAGTCTGTGTGGCTTTGAATCACATTGAGGGAGGTGCCCCTGATTTGGAACAAAGTCCCTCTGTCCTCCTCATTTGTCCTTCATTTTGGTTTGATCCATATAGTTGTACATAAAATGCACTATGTATCCTTCAAAAAGTGTTTCACAGTGCTAAGCCTTTCATCCAGTTTTTAAATCGTTGCATTTGTAAACTTCAAAATGCCAGTATAAAGGAATAGTAGCGGTAAAAAAAAGCACTTGTGGGTTTAACTAATCTTTTTTTTGTATAATTCTTCTTTAAGGGGGCATGGTGGGTGGTGTCCTATACCTACATACATTTGCTAATAGGTGTCCCTTGTTCCCCTCTCAAAAAGTTGGGAGATATGCATTGTACTCTGTGTATGGTAAAGTAGAAAAGCTTCCTGTTTTAATGTACAAGTTACATAGTTAGTCTGGCTGAAAAAAGACAAAAGTCCATCCAGTTCAACCATTCAAAAAAAAAAAAAAAATTATAATCCTATACCCACAGTTGATCTAGAGGAAGGCAAAAAAACCCAGCAAGGCATGATCCAATTTGCTCCTGCAGGGAAAAAAAAATCCTTCCTGATCCCCCGAGAGGCAATCAGATATTCCCTGGATCAACTTTACCTATAAAAGTTAGTATCCGGTTATATTCTGTGTATCTAAGAAAGAATCCAGACCTTTTTTAAAGCAATCCACTGAGCTGGCCAGAACCAACTCTTGAGGGAGTCTATTCCACATTTTCGCAGCTCTCACTGTGAAGAAACCTTTCCGTGCTTGGAGATTACATTTCTTTTCCTCCAGAACACAATTTATCAACAAAGAGGAGAGAAACTGTTCAACTATATTGTCTGAGTGGATAGGATCTTGCATCAGATTTTCCAAAAGAAAGGGAATGACCTCCAAGCTGCTAATATAGTTTGACTCGGTAAAGTCAAACTATGTCTATGATATAATGGATAGGCAGGACAAGCACTCGGCAGGACTGTAGAGCCAAACTGGAGCTGGAAGCGGAGTTAGAGTAATAGCCAGGGTCAGCAATGAGGTACCGGAACATCAGACAGTGATGAGGTCAGGAGGAAGCCAGAATCAGAAACCGATGAGCAGAAGCAAAAACAGAATCCAAGAGCAGGTCAATGGCAAGCCGGGTCAGTAACGGATACACACAGGATACAGCAGGACACAGGGAATTAGCTGAAGACCAGTCAGCACTGAGAGTAAGAGTCTCTTTTAAATAGTTCATCTGGCGCCAGAAAATGTGGGTATGCTCCTGTGTGCGTGCTCCCGTGTGCACGCATTCTTGCACACGTGTGAGCCTATGCTCATTTTTATTAGCAATGCACCCGTGCTCATTTCTATGCGCGATGTTGCACGCATGTGCATTTCTATGTGCCATTTGCCGTACAGGAATTCCCTACATTATGCCTGGGAAATGTCTATGCTGCTACTGCTTTACCTGTCAGTCTTCAGTCAAACAGATAAATAAAAAATGGAGTAAATCAAAACAGTATTCCCCGATTCCAACACAGCAAACACTTTTCTCCTGCGCTGGGAATGGACTCAGCAGAACCAATATGAATGTTCTGGAATGTGCACTGCTTGCTGCCCTCAACAGACCGGGGCAATCCAAATTCCCTAAATTCCCTAAATGCAAATGAAAAAACAAAAAGTGCCTAGTGCATTATTGTTTAAAAGTATTTATTGAGAGGAAAAAAAAGTAAGTATCATACTCAGAATACACATAAAAAACACAGGCATATCACACTGAACAAGCTGTCCAATCCAAATCGCTTCTGAGTCCATACGATGGAACCCTGGATGACCAACTGGCTAACACGTTTCGAGGACTCAGCCTCTTCCTCAGAGCCAACACTTCAAGAGTCTGCACCTCTCCTATATAGGCTAACAAATGATGACAGTGGGCCGTATCAAATCCACCCAGAGGCGGAGACTTTCATCACATGATCCATTCGCATATATTACCGAATTAGGATAAAATAGTAAAAAACACACACAAGAATAAAAAAATACCTTTATATATTAACATATGATTGCGAGTGCATAAATACTTAGACTTCTATATAAGTATATGGTGTTGAGACAGGTAACACAATGATGGAATGATAGTTAATGGTGTGAGGCATATAAAGT